GTTATGAAATATTTTAAAAGTCATTTCATTCATTCATGCAAATAACATTTATTAAGCATTGGCTATGTGAAACTATTTCAAAAAGGCAACATTAAAGGGGAAAAAAAATGAAAGGGAATGCAGCTTTCCAGGGAGCATACGGTCCATCAATGAACTGCTAATAATACTATGAATACATTTTGTAGCAACAAATTGGAACTTAAAGGTTCAATTCTGATCTGAGACTTAAGTAAATAGACATATGTAAAGGTCCAAAGTGACAAAATGATCACTCTCTGCACCAAAGTCTTGTTCTTATTGCTAGGCATTATGAGATTGGATTAACATGATTGTTGTCATATTAAAAAGAAATGATTAGACCCAAGATAATACATTTTAGACTTGACAAAAATCATCAAATTATTCTTTATTCATAATTACAAAAATGATGCATCTGTGTCAATAACACTTTCGTGTTAATGATGTTTTCCATAGGTTTACTGGGTAAAACATTTTGTATGAACTTTCTCAGATGAGGAATGAATTAAGTTCCTTGTAATTTTGCACATCTTTCAATTACAAAACAAACACTGATACAAGATAGAAAACAAACATACTGTGTGACAGATTTGGTCTGCTCAGCACACGTGCTTGTGTATGTGGGTGACAGTGAGAGTCTCATAGTGTGACTGTCTGAGCTGCCTGCAAACCACATTACTCAAAATCCACACTGCTAATTAGAGTCACAGTTTTTATTGGCATAGTCACTTTTCTTGATTCCTTGGTTTAAAATAATTATGTGACAGGAGAAGGCAAAAGTAATTAAAGAGAGGCAAGCTTTTAAGTTTCCAAAATATTCTGAATCCTGTACTGGCCACTACAGGCTACAGGGTGCATGAAATAACAAGTAAAATAGAAGCATTCTGTCAGAAGCTACTTTTCCAAATTCACTAATAAAAAGAATTGCTGTTGAAGGGCCAGAGGGTGGTGGGACAGGACCATTCTGCAGCGTGTAATACTCTAAGAAGAGGTCATGGGAAGGATTTTATTTATTTATCATGTAGAAACAATTGTCAATGGTGTAGACATTATAAGTATCAATAAAAAAATGACTATTTTCTTAATTTTAAGAATACAAACTGACAATATAATTTTAGTGAGTTCAAAAGACTTTACAACATGGAAACTCCCTCTTTGTTAAGAGTGCTATGTTCCAGTTTTGAAAAAGACATATTACAATCTTGGGAACAGGCTTCAGTTGAAACCCAGCTGATGATGGGGGTTTTATTTTGTTCGAAAGTTTCATAAATGCTAATTCCCAAGATGCTCAATAAAGGTTAAAAAAGATCTCCCTAAATGAGGTTAATTCATCAGTCTGAATCTTTACACCCTCCCCATCCTAGCTGTTCCCTGGGGCTGTCGATAAAAAGATACAGTATGAACTTAGTAAATATTTGTTGTTTGAAGGTGGTGCCATCTTACTAATTATGTACCAATAGCAAAATATTTTAATTCTACCAAGCAAATTAGAAGACTCATCTAAAGTCATTTATCTTATGACTCACCTCTAATACTTATGAGTACCTATAACTTGAAAAGCATTAAAGCAAAAGAAACCAAATTTTATTTATAATGTAGACTTGTCTTAGATCATCCAAATTCATTCAGGCTCTTCATTTCATAGACTGGTTGTATTTCAAGTCTCCCTATAAAAAAGAAAATACTATATTTTACAATATGATAAAGGGCTGGAGGAAAGGGATATTCAAATTAAATTCAATTCACAAGTTTTTTTACCTCCAAAGTAAAAAGAAATGAAATTATGTAAGAAAATTATATTTTAAAAGCCATGGACTTCCCAAACAGATAGAAGATGATTAGAAAATTATTTACAAAATGATAGTTCACTGTACAAACAACTTCTGTAATTTCTTTAAATAGTAGAGCTCCATTAGCTCAAATACTTTGATGGATTTATGATTCCATTGGTTTGGGCATTCCTTTCATCAATATAAATTATAACTTTTTCATTTCTTCTCATTTTGGGTAATTCTTTTTCATTTTTTCCAATAAATTCTCCAAAGAGGGTCTCTCTAACATAATGGAGACTTTCTTCTTGTTGTTTTAATACCTTTTTTACGATTCACTGTATCATTCAAACAGTCTATCTTTCTGGGAGGGGGAAAGGGAACTTTCATTTTTTTTTCCATTAACAATAATCTCTTTTCTATTCTCCCTCTCACCCTACCTCACTGAAAAAAAAAAACCCTCATATAGTCAAAAAAAGAAATAGTATAGTCAAGCAAAACAAATACATATATTTGCCATGTAAAAAAATGTGTCTTCTGCATCTCTAATCTGTTACCTCTCTGTCAGGAGGCGGGTAGTATGTTTCATCAATGGTCCTCTGAATTAATGTTGGTAAGTGCAACTATCAGAGTTCTTAACTCTTTCAAAGTTGTTTGCTTTTAAAATACATAATTGTTATTTTGGACATTTTGAACTGGATGTCCAGTAGATATCTTAAACTTAATATATCTAAAACAGAATTTATTTTTATCCCTAAACCACGTCTATCTTCCACACCCAACACAAGCCCTTGCTATTACTGCAGAGGTCAATACCATCTTCCCATCCTTCAGGCTCGCAACCTAGGAGTTTTATCTTGAATTCCTCATTATATCTCAACTCTCCCCTGCCCCCTCCCCCCATATCCAAGCTATTGCCAAAGCTTATTAATTTCACCAAGCAAGACAACCAGCACTTGAGAGAGAGTCCTTACTGGCAATGTGGTCCATTTTACTCATGCCCACCTTGCAATTCCCCATTGCCCTTTGGGTGATTTATAATTCTTTGGAGACCGGGTTGCTCCATGTTTTTCAGCTATATAGTATCACTTGTAGAATATAGTAAGAAGATGGGTCTCTGTTCTTGGGAGAAGCTTGAGGGATCATTAAAATCACTGTGCAATTTCCCAAATACAAGTCCAAACCCAGAAGATGAGGGAAACTCTATAATAAGTACAAATCAAGGCTCAGAAAAAGAAAGTATTGGCTGCAAGGACTCCAAGAGTAGAAGGAAGAAATGAAAAGGTTTTTAAAAATGGAATTAGAGCTTTTGAGGGGAAAAATGGAAGGAAAATAAACAGCTTAGAGCAGAAGGTACAAAATTTTGCCCAAGTAATGGACACCCTGAAAAATGGAATGGAGCAATGTTCAGAGCAAACAGAGCTCAATGCAACAAGACATATTAGAATAAAGTCAAAAGACTCAAAAAATCAATTAAAAATTTAAACTGAAAAATCAGACATAGCAATTAAGATATCAATAGTAACTTTGGAGAGAGCAGTTTCAGTTGGGTAATGAGCTCAGAAGCCAGTTCACAAAGTGCTGAGAAGTGAATGAGAGCAGAAGCGGAAGCAATAAGTGAAGACAGCTCTTCCTAGGAGTTTGGCCAGGAAAGGGAGGCAAGACAGAGGGTGAGAGCTACTAGGGATGGTAGGATCTGGTGGGAATTTTAAAAGATGGGAAGGACTTAGGAAGGAAGAGTAGTGTGGCAGTCTTCAAGAGAAGTTGGGAAGAGATTAGACTGAAATACATGTATCTCTGCATTAGAGATTGACGTAAAAGGCAATGGAGGGGGGATGATAAGAGGTGGTGAGATAAAGAAGAAGGGAGAAGAGAAAGCTCAATTTTTTCAGTAAACTATGAGGCAAGGTTTTTAGCTGAAAGGTGAGTGGAGGTGCTGCTGGAAGAAAGAAAAGGAAGTTTGGAACATCCATTGTATAGAGTGGGATAGAGATGATTAGAGATGCAACATTAGAAAATGTTGCCTTGCTATAGTGAAGGCTTACCACCAAGAGGGAATTGCCTTATTTGGACTCTATGTAGGATATCTTTCCTGACACTGGTAAACAGCTTTGATGAACATATAGAACACCTCATTTGATGTTAAAACTCAATGGATTATTTATAACATGTCCCTCATGGCATCTTGTATGATTTTGATGTATATTTGGGAAATACTTTGAGCGCCTTCAAGACAGTATTTTACTGTATTGCCAGGTCCTTTCATAGACTGCTGGAGGCTCAGTTTGATCACCTACAAGCCAAGGTGCTCATGATCCACCTCCTGACACTTTGCTGGAATGGTTCTCAGCAGGGACCCAGAGTCTGTTGTCAGGTCTTCAGATGAAGCTTAGTGGTCACTTATTACAACATTAAAAAGAGTCCTGGGGGCAGCTGAGTGGCGCAGTGGATAGAGCACTGGCCCTGGATTCAGGAGGACCTGAGTTCAAATCCGGTCTCACACACAAAACACTTACTAACTGTGTGACTCTGGGCAAGTCACTTAACCCCATTGCCTCACAAAAAAAAAAAAGAGTCCTGGACTGAGTCTCAGCTTTGACCTTTATCAGCTGTGTGATCCTGGACAAGTCACTTAACCCTGTTTACCTCAATTTCCTCATCTGTAAAATGAGCTAAAGAAGGAAATGGCAAACCACTGCAGTGTCTTTGGGGCCACGAAGAGTTGGACACAACTGAAAATGACTGAATAACAGCAACAAACTATTATCACAGATAGTAAGTATAGATCTAGAGGGTTCAGGAATAACGAGAATAGAATTACCAAGTTTTTATATGAATAATCAGAGGAGAGAGCAAAACTATTTTAAAAATATCACAAATGAAGAATAGATTTCATTTATTTATTTTAGTGAAGAAGAGAAACTTTTCCCCAACTAGCAAACTATCAATCAGGTGCTGAAAATCTGAATCAATTACTTTTTTTTTTCAATGTGAAAAACATACCTGCCTGATACAGACTTCTTAAGAATAAAGGGGATAAATTCCTGACACGAGTATAAAGAAAAGTGCCACTTGTATAGTGTGTATCTTCTTGATAATGATGAGTTTAATCACCTTAATATAGAAGTTCATATCAATTGCTGTCAAGATAAATGAGAAGGCATAGACATAATGAAAGCAGAAGAATAATGGACAATGTTAGCGCCAAGACACTCACCCTTGCTGGTCTTGTAAAAACTTGCATTTTGTTACAGTCACATTCAAAGATGAGGAAACAAAAGTCTTAGCACTAGCAGCTAAGGAGGGGCCTGAATAAAAATAATGAGGGAAATAGGAAAAAAACAACGAATGTTATTAAAATGTCAAAATATTAATCTCTACTGTGTAACTGCATAGCAGTTTTAGCTATAGTAAAAAAATCTATGAACAAAAACAGCAAAAAGGGACCTGCTAAGCTGCTCATCGGTATCCTTTTTTCCAGGTCTTCTTGAATTTTAAGCAAGGTTCTCTCCCGCTCCAGAGCTTCTATGTATTTTGAGTAGCACCAGGAAGACTGTAAAAATAATTTTCAAAGTTAAATGTAAAGCTGTTTACTTCTCTTATCAATGAAGAAGATGTGCTATCTTGCAACTGCTATCAAAATTAATTTACCAGCCTATCTTTGCCCATGTAGGTACATTTGTGCCAAAATAAAGTAACCATCTTTGGTTTCTTTTTCTATGCCATCAACTTCAATCCCCTAGTAAAGAATGAGCTAATCAAAATTATCAAGCTATTTTGATAACTTTATGGTCATCTTTATAGGTTTGCTTTGATTTATAATTAATTAATTTAAATGTTTACATTTGAAGATGTTTACATTTAAAGATCTTCTATCCAGATGGTTTAGGTTGATTAAGCACACTTCTTGGAACAATCAGATGTAAATTCAGAATGTCCACATTAAATAAAAAAAACCAACCCAGAGTATCTTAACATTTTGCTAAATTCTGTACCATTGATGCCCTCCCTATGTGCATATAAATAAAACTTATTCCCAAATGCATTTTTTTAAATGGTTCTACTCCATCTGAAACATGTTGCTATAAGGTCTCAAAGCTGATGAGCTTGGATCTGAATTGTATTGATCTATAAGTCGCTGATGATGCTAGTTTTTGATCTCCCCTCTCCCCAAATCAACCATTTTTTTTTCTTGCTAACAATTGATTTCTATATCATTAGTCAAACTGGCTATATAGTTGATCCAATTTGCTTAAGACACTTGGAAATATCAAAAATTGCCTGTCTTAGAGACCTTATGAACTTCAATTTTAAAAAGGCATGTATATGGCTAATGCAGAAATTGCTTTTGCATGACATATTTGTGATGAGTTCTATTTTTCTGGTTTTCTCAATGGATGGAGGAGGGAGAAAAAAAAAAGAGCCCCAAGGAAGAAATAAGAATGATGCTCTTGGTAAATGGGATGTGATAACGAACAAGAGAGAAAAGGCAGAACTATTCAACACTTATTTCAATTTTTTTTTCCCTGACAAGGAGAATTATCTTTGGTTCTAAAAGGAGAGAATAAAGAAGGCTAATGGGGAATTGAAACCCAAGATAAGTAAGACAGTGGGTAAGAGGACACTGAGCTGCCCTTGACGAGTTCAAATCTCCAGGCCTGGGTGAACTACACTTCAGAGATGGGAGAGAAGACACAGCCAAAGCTGCTGAGCCACTGTCAGTATTCCCCAAAAAATTCTAGAGGATGAGAGAGATAGGGATGGTGAAGATTCTTCCAATGAGATTGACTTCAATTTTTGGCAAAATTCTCCATCGTGTTTCCTAATCAACTCCTTGTAACTAGTTTGGCTTGAAGCGACCTCTTTTACTCATTCCAGCTTGAATGTTCACTTCTGGAGTTTTTTTTTTGTTTTTTTACTGGGGATTCTCTGTCCTCAGAGGATTTATTCACTGTATTTTTATAATATAATATAAGCAATTTTTATTTGCTTGCTCATTTTCTCAGTCTCTTTATTGAATTTTTTTTAATGAGCGCCTTCAATCTTTCCCCCTCTTTTAGGAATTATTATTTTTTTAATCCATTTGTGCATTTCTAGCTATTCTGAGGTATCAAGGGAGACTTGGGCTCCCTTGCCAGAATCCTGTTTCCTGCTGTTCCTAATATTAATGGAGCAGGCCTGGTGCTGCTGGGCTCCTCTTTCACACATGGCTGCCTGTTTTCTCTTGGGAACTGAGCAAAATCATGAACATACTGCTGAGAGGTGAAGGGATATGGATGAATCCCTGAAGCGAAACTGAGGAATAACAAGAGAAGCCTGGTGCTGGGCAGAGTCTACTACAGGGGTCAGGAGCCTGCCACATCTGCTTATGGTTCTAAAAATTTTCTACCCCTGTTATTACAATGGTTGCCATGCCAATCCAAGACAGGGAACAGAAGGTGAGAAGGGAAGGGAATAAGGAATAAGTACTTTTAAGCATCTACCTATTTCATATTTCATCCTCACAAAAACCCTGAGTGGGTGTCCCCTACACCTCCATTTTATAGATGGGGAAACTGAGGCAGAGGTTATGTGACTTATCCACAGTCACACAACTAGTAAGTGTCTGAAGCTAGATTTGAACTCAGGTCATACTGACTCCAGGCCCAGTACTCTAGCCACTGTACTACTGAGCTGCCTTCTAAGGTTCAGAAAGAGGGGCAGGGGAGAGATAGTAAGAAAATGTGTGGAAATTTCTTTTTGTTGCTATTTTACCTTATTTGGTATGATTCTTGATATTTTGAAGTGCTTAAGGTAGGAGATGGGCTTAGGTATAATCACATTCAGTGATTCAGTGTCAGTAAAGTGCTATACTTGGGTTCAAAATAGCATCCCAAGTATAAGATAGGGGAGATGTGAGTAGAGAACGGTTCATTTGAAAAAAAAAAATCTAAGCATTCCGGTGGACTGCAAGCTTAATGAGAGTCAAGAGTTTCTGCTGTGGAAGTCAGAATAGTTTATGTGATCACTGGAGTAGGAGTGGAAAGGACCTTATGGCCATTGAGTCCAGCCTCCTCGAAGGCCCTAGGAGGTGCTGGGATTTGCTCAAGGTCACACTGGTAGAAAGTTTCAGAGGTGGGATTTGAACCCAGGTCCTCTAAACTCATAGTGATCTTTCACTAGTTGTACCATATCACTTCTTAGGCTACATTAAGGGAAGCATCCTGAATTCATCCTGCTGTACTTTCTCCTGCCCACACTGCATCTAGACAGCAAGCATATTGTGTTCAGATCCAGGGACCTGGTGGAGAGAACTGGAGAGTGCATGGACGTGAGCAATGTCTGTAGTGAGGAGGTTCATGCCAGAGAGCTGAAGGAACTGGAGATGGTTAGCCTGGAGAAAAGGAGAATGGATGGAAGGATGGATGGACACATGGATGGGTGAAGGAAGGAAGGAAAAAGCACTTACTCTATGTCAAGTGCAGTGCTAAAGGCTCAGACTACAAATACAAAAGTAAAGACAATCTCTTCACTCAAGGATATTATATTGCAACAAGGAGAGAAAACATCAGTGAAAGTAGAAGGCATATTTAAGGGTTTGAACAGAAGCTGATGAATTTTGATCAGGTTCTACAAAGAGCAAGTCAGTGTGAGAATAATTGCAGAGGTACAAAGAGTGATCTGACTTGAAAAAATTCAACTTTAACCAGCTCCAAAATATCTTTCTGTTTATGTGCCACAGAAACAAGGTAAGAGACCACCATTGATTGCTCAAATTTGAATTCAAAAGTTTACAGAAGAATCTTTCCAAAATGGGAGACTGAAAAACAACTGAACAAAAATGCTTTTTTTAGCTAATACAAGTCAAGCCCCGTTCAACTAGGAACTTGAATGGAAATGCCTTCAGTACCACATTTGGACTAAGAAGGAAGAGCTATAGGTGAAGGTAGCTTTTGGGCATGACTCCGTATGAGTTACAGGTCATGATCGACACATATTCCTACTTAAGAGCTTGGGGTCATCCATAGCAAGAACAAGACCATTGAAGCTAGATTTGAACTCAGGTCATATTGACTCCAGGCCCAGTACTCTAGCCTCTGTACTACTGAGCTGCCTTCTAAAGTTCAAAAAGAGGGGCAGGAGAGAGATAGTAAGAAAATCTGTGGAAATTTCTTTTTGTTATTTTACCTTATTTGGTATGATTCTTGCTATTTTGAAGTGCTGACGGTGGGAGATGGACTTAGGTATAATCACATTCAGTGAATTTATTTGTATTTATTCTCTTTATATTTAGAGTTATCTTCTCCATTAGAACATAAAACATATATTTACAGTTTTCCATTAGAATATAAACTCTTTCTAAGTAGAAGCTATTTCTTTGTATTTGTATTTGTATCCCCAGTGCCTAGCACAGTGTCTGGTATGTAGTAGAAGCTTAATGAATGTTTTTCACTGATTGGCAGCAGTGAAGGGCTGGGTGATTGACAGGCACCTGTTCTAAGGCCTTGTTGAAGGGATCTAGAAGTACAGCTATTATATTGAAAATACAGAAAATACAAGGTTGAGAAAGTCAATCTAATGTTTACAAATATTTTATCAAATTATATGTTTATGAAAAGAGATGGAAACTTTTTCAATATTGAAGAAGTAAACAAAACAGGGCATATTTTAATTAAACTTAAGGAAATGAATGAAAAAGAACTTATTAATTACTTACTGTGTATAAAGCTATGTGCCAAGCACTGAGGATACAAATACAACAGTCAAGAAAGTTTCTGCCCCAAAGGAACTTCCATTTTAATGAGGGAACATGACACATATAGGAGAGTGGTGGCCAAGGAGGGGATATTTAGGTTTGTAAAGTTATAGGGATGGTGAGTGGAGCTATAGGGAAGTAGGCTGACAACCCCTTTCCAGGGCTGATGGTAGTATTGATTTGATTATGGTTCCAGAACTGCAAAGAAGGGGTGAGGCAGAGAAAAAGGTGGAGCAGGGGTGCTGAGGCCTCTCACCAATCAGTACAGTAGGGAAGGAGTAGATTCATGGCAGGTGTTTCAGAGCTGAATGGGTTAAGACTTCTGGGTCATGGTCAGTGTTCTGAGTGGCAAGATGGTTAGCTAGAAAATGGCTTGGGGAGTAGGGGGTAAAGTGAAAGTGAAACATGGCTGGGGTCAGCCTGAGATAATGGGCTAAATGAGGCACTCACCAATGGGGGTGCGGTGGGGAGAGTGGGATCTCTGGAGTTGAAAGGGTTAAAAAGCTCCAGGGTATAGTCTCTGATGGGGAGGTTGGGGGTAGGTGACTGGCTAGATGACTGGGGAATAGGTAAATAATACACCTGTATACAAATTGTTTAACTGAGCTGATGATGGTGCAGCATGAAGCATCTAATAGATGAATCTCTATATCACTACAGAAAGATGCTAACAGCCCCTGCAATCCACTTGACTGCTTACCTGTCGGTTATAGGCCTGGGTATTTAAACCTGTGGAGCTGCTTATTCTCCCCGAACCTGAACCACTTGGTGTCCTGGGTGCATCCTGTAACTTAAAGTGTAAACGTTACGGCTTAATGGAGAGAAAAATATGATATCAAGATCACCCCATGTTGCTAAAACACTATAGAACCTTATTCAAAATGCATTTTGTTTTTTGGCAAAGTAACATGATAGTTAATGTTGTACCAAGGCCTGTTGCAAAATTCAGTGTGGCCTGTGATTATTTACTTTAAATGACCCTTCCGTTGTTGATTTTAAATTTTTCTTATTGATCTACAGTCATTTGATTTTCATAATGCCACTTTCTCTCATTCTTCCTTTTCCCCAGATTCCAAGTTCAATTCTGTTTTTGCCAATACCTGGATTTTCACAAGACTGAATTGAGGATAGATAGGTTTGATCTGTGCAGGATACATGGATACCGCTACAGAAATGATCAATCTTTTCAAAACGTAAATTTCTACTACTTCAAATCTTAGGTTTCACATACTCATTATCCTGGGATTTCAGTGATTATCTTGATATTGACAGTCAAGTCAAGTAAGTGGCATGACAGTGGACAGGGTATTGGATTAGGACTCAAGGAGGCGTGGGTCAAATCCCACTAGGACACTTTCGATACAAACTGTAGAACTCTGGGTAAGTCATTTAAAACTTCCTGGACCCTCACTTTCTCATTGTAGGTAGGTAAGGTGGATTTTGTTATTCTTTTTTAGATAATAGTTCCCAGGATCATAGATACCAGTTCCCAGGATTCATGGACATAACAATCTACTAGTTCCTGGGATTTCACATTATAAACAGCCTACTGTGCTTGCACTATGCTGAATCACCATGATATTGCTAAAGTTAATGTAAACTTGTGAGGCTATTGCTGGCAAATTGCCTTCTTTGTCTGTTACCCTATAAATCAAGTGAGCACTGGTTGGTAAGTGGGTAATATGACAGCGTAATGCTGTGCTTGCCTCATTGGACTCCACTGAGGCTGAGGGGGAATGTACAAACTGGAATGTTGTGCGAGCCTTGATTGGCCCCCATCGAAACTTAGGGGTTGGTGCTCCTAATTAGGGGTGCTGTCGGAATTGCTGCTGCCGTTATCAGCAACCCCCTTGAGAAGAATAAAGCAAATTATTTAACCCCTTATTATGTCTCCATTCCTGTCTTCCTACCTGCCCGGATCAAGAGTGAATCTGCTAGAAGCTCTCCGCGTCTCCTGTCTTACACTCATCTATGAAGTTCGGAAGTTGGACCAGATGACTCCAAGGTCCCTTCCAGCTCTAAATCTATAATTACTGCAAAACAGGCTTTGAGCCAGTGTTTCAGCTGTGACAGAGAAATCATTTTCTCATGAACACTATATCGCAATAAGCTCCAAATTAAAATTTGACCAATATTTACAGGTAAGGCGTTACCTTACTTAGCTGCTGAGCTTTTGCTTCTACATTCGTGATATCTTGCACCTGTCCTCTTTTCTCTGCTCACACCATGACCGCCCTAGCTCTGGCCCTGATCACCATCAGTCTGCCCTGTTATATGGTGGTGACGCCGAGCACAGTAAAGAGTAGAACAGTGCCTGTCCTCGGGCAGCTCTCACATCTTTCTGGTGGAACAAACACCGCAGGGGCATGAACAAGTCTCCTGCAGGCTAAGGAGGGAAGCAGGCCAAAGGTGAGGGGAACAGCTCGGGGCAGCAGCAGTGGGGGCAGGAAGGCCTTTCTGGGAGTATTCCAAGAAGAGATAGCACAGGAGCTGAGACTTGAAGGAAGATAAGGATTCTTACGCTTCCCAGTCGCTTCACCTTGACTCCCCCCAGACACACACTGGGAAACGCTAAAGCCTCTCTAATCTTAATCCCGTTGTCACCCATAAATGCTCTAGGCTCCGTAATCCATAACTCTAAGAATCCTCCAGGTGCCCATCAGCTGCAGTCTTGCACTCTTTCGGTCCTGCTCCTGCCTGCGGGACGTGCTCCCCGCAAATACGGGTGTACCCCAAGGCTCTCTCCCGGGCCTTCTTCTACATTCTCAGTGACTTCATCAGCTCACTGCCTTTATTTACACACGTATCTGAGAACAAATGTGCGTATATCTGGGGATCATCAGAGCAAAGACCGTGATTAAAGGTGTGTGTACACACATATGCATATACGTATAAGAACATATATGTATGTGTGTATACACATATGCACATGTATATAAACACCTATGTGTAAACATACTTTTTTGTATTGCATGTATGTGTGTATTGTTTGTGCCTGGTACCCCTTATTTACTCTTTTTTTTTTAGGACTTTATATTTCTCCTTTATTTTATTCAATTTGATCCAATATTCTAACCTAATATAAGATGTTGTTTTTGTTTAAATTTTAACCTGATTCTGTCATCCAGAGTGTTAGTTTAAGGTCATCTGTGCATTTGATAAGCCTGCTTTCTTTGCTTTTATCTCAGGCATTTATGAAGATGTTGAACAGCTTAGGGTCCAGCACTGAACCCTGGGGCACTCCGCTGGAGACTTAGTTACTTTTAAGCTCAAATGTATACAAGTGATAGAACATATATGAAGAGCTGAGACACATGCCAATGCCCTCCCTTGCAACGACAGGAAGCACTTTACGAGGAATGGATAATCCCTGTAATCATATTAATATTAAGCTTTCTATTAGAGACCTGAACACATTAATGACCTTACAGAGTCTCACCCTTATCAATGCAGACTAAACAGCATTGAGATAATCTGTGAGAAACCTGGTAGGTTCTACTGAGCTCACCTAGTAAACAAATATAGCCTGTATTTCAAGCTCATGTGAGACAGGATTTTGTATCGGTCTGAGAGAAGAAATTATCTATAGCTAAGAATGAAGACCAAGAAAAAAATTCTGAGCAAGCAGGAATAACTGAGATAATTCATTCTTCCTGAGTCAGACCTTCAGGTTTGCTTAACATTAACAGCAATCTCCCATGGGTTTATATAGACAGAGTATCTTTTCCCCCAGCTACGCTAACAAAGGGCAGTGCTATGCGGCTGCCCCGCTTCCCATCCTATCCTCCCCACCACACACAGAAGGAGGAGTCTGCTGGGGGTGGTTGGCTGAGACGGTTGGGTGGCTACAGACACTACATAACTTTCCCCTAACAATTTTCTTTATCTCCAGTGGTCAAGGGATGTGTTGACCCCAGAGAATTCAGAGGGTTCATTGCTTGTGCTCTTCTGAGGCTGCTCGCTGAGCACACAAATTAGAGGCCAAAGCACCTAATTTCTGTCCCATGAATAGACAAATACATTATATCTTTGTGTTTGGTCCTAAATACAGTTGTTTGTTACTTACACTTCTTACTCCCCCCTCCCCCCCCGCCGCTGCATTTGTTTACTATGTCTTTAGCTTGAGTTAAATACATGTTTTTTTAAAATCAAATGTATCTTAAGAGAAAAAAAAATTTAAACTCAATGTTCTCAAAATCATTCCAAAATAAAATTTATTCTTTTCTACTATTAATTAATGTAGACAAATGAATATAAAAATATTACAAACTAAGAGAATTTTCAAATGAATGAGAGTATTTCACGTGAATACATGATCTGATCCTGGATCTTATTTCCACTAACTTCATATTATATATTCACTTTGTAATTCTGACTTCTTTAAAAAGAAGTTATCTTTTTAAGGGCCTCTACTACATAAACCAACATCTGAAACTCCTGATGGAAAAATCTTGAAAACCACTAAAATGTGTATCTTTCTTATCTTCTTCCTTGGATCAGAGTGATCAGAAGGTGAGTTTATCTCAAACAAGCCTCATCCTATAACCCATACAGGCCTGGCCTCAGGACCCCCTCCACCAGCATCCAGCTGCCTTGAACACCAGGCATGACCAGAGACTAGTGAACTGTTCTCTCTCCCCTCTCCCTCAGACCTTTTCACCAGTTTCTCAGGCAACAAAAATCAGATCAATATGAAACCCTCCCCCCCCACACTATTTTTTTCCTATGATGGGTGTGACAATCTATTTGCCCTATGGCTCTATTTATAATCTTGTGATTTTGAGTCATAGGCTGCCTACTACTCCCTGCTGCTCCCTCACAAACCCCATGTCAATCCTACACCTCCTATGTCTCTTTCACACTCCATCCTACCCTTCCATTAAGCCCTTAGAGCCCCTGTACTCCAGTTCACAAACTTCCCATCCTAGTCTTCCTGCACTTTCCCTGGAAAGTATGTTGCATATATTTTGTATTTAATTTTCTATGTACATGTTGTTTCTCCCTAATAGAATGTAAGCTTGTTTTTTCAGTAGTATTTTATTTTTTCTAATTACATGTAAAAACAATTTTTAACATTCATTTAAAAAATTTTTGAGATGCAAATTTTCTCCTTCTCTTCTCTCCCTCCCCCCTCCCTAACATGGTAAGCAATTTGATATAGGTTATATATATATGCAATCATGTAAAACCTATTTCCATGGAATGTAAGTTTCTTGAAAGCTGAGACTGTTTCATGTTTATCTTTGTAGCCCTAGTGTCTAGCATGGAACCTGGTATATAGTAGGTGTCTAATAAATATTTGCTAGTTCACAACTTGGATGCCATCAACTCCTTACTTTCACTCGCATATTTAAATAGTTGCCTAATCTATCAGCCTCTTGCATAGATGCCCTTTCTCTCCACTCACATGGTTCCTACTTTAGTTCAAGACCTTATTACCTCTCACCTGGACTATTGCAATAGTCTCCCAGCCTTCCATCTCTTCCCAGTCTTACCCATCCTCGACAGAGCCACTAAAGGGATTTTAGAAGTACAGGCCTGGCCATATCATCTAGCTTCCTACTCAATAAACTCCAATGGCTCTTTATCACTTCCAGAATCAAATATAGATTTCTTCTATTTGGCATTTAAACCTTTTCACTCTCTGACTGCACCCTACCTTTCCATCTTTGCTACATATCATTCCCCTCCAAATCCTCTGTGATCCAGCCATACTGGCCTTCTTTCTGTTCCTTTTACAAGGCACTCCTTCTCTCATCTTGTGCCTTTGTCCCCTCATGCCTGGGATGTACTCCCTCCTTTCCTCCGCCTCCTGAAATTCCTGATTTCCTTCAAGACTCAGCTCAAGCACCACCTTCTAGACTGTAAGAGTCCTGAGGGCAGGGACCGTTTGCTGTTTATCTTGGTACCCACAGCATTTAGCACAGGGCCTGGCTTGTGAAGTGATTAGGTGAATTCTATGTATTCTTTCCCCTCCTCTAACCTCTTACCTACATATATGTCATACATACTTTTTAAAGCTCTGAACACAAGAAACAACGAGCTTCACCTTACCTTTATTTTGCTGTCTTCAGTGGGAGTAGCCTGTTTTTTCTTATATTCTTTTCTTCTCTCTAAAGTAGCCACAACTTTCTCATCAGTTAAATTGCTTCGAAACTGACAAAACTGTGGCCAGTATTTAAAAAGAACCCCAAAAATGGTCATCTGGGCAGAAGCAAAAGGGTATTAGGGCTACAATTTTATACAAATGTCCTGATTTAAAATATAATTCAACATAATAATGGATTAACTATTCCTTACTTAGTATCCAGCATGTTTCCTGCAACTTATTGTCTCCAGGCAGCTTCATATAAGTTATACACATGCTGATCATCAATTTTTTTTTATTACCAATGAGAAGTCTTTGTTTAAAAAAATGCAGTTAAGAGACACTTTCTTCTTTATATGTCTCATACCAATTGACTGAATTAATAGAAACATTCATTAGGTTTTTGGGAGGTTTTTCTTTTTAACAAGGAATTTATGGTTTCTTCTAAAAATTGCCATACATATTGCTATTTTATCCAAATATTCTAAACATTTAGTTCATCCGGCTAAAAACCCCACTTTTTTCTTTTGGAGAAAGGAAATACCATTTTGCCTCTGGAAAAACTCTTAAACAACACTGCAGATGTAAGAATAAATCTTGGACAACTTTTAAATGATATAATCTTTCTTTTTATGTGAAAGCAAGAAAAGCAACATTTAAAAAGCAGAATGGTGCCCTTAACTAATGCCCTCCATTAGGATACTCCACATTAAGTGATCATGATATTTATATAGATAAGAATTATGCTCAAAAGTCTGTGCCAAATTCTTTCATTAGTTCTGCAATGCACACGTGTTATTTCTTGCAAAAACTTAGTACTCGCCACATCAGATCAGGCTGTCATCCTAAGAAATTCTACATCTTGCTGCTTATTAGCTATGGCTTTTACTAATGCTATAAAAAAAGAACATCTCATTAGGCTTTAAGCTGACTATTAGGGAAGGGAATAAGCATTTACTGAGCATGTATTATGGGCCAATCACTATGCTAAGCACTTCTCATTTGGTAATTATTAGTTTGTTAACTATTAAGGCAAAAGAAAAAAACTATCTTCTAAATGTTTCAGTGATCAGTTTATGACCTGAAGTAAGATATTTGATTTTCCCTATCTTAACATTTTTTCTATCTAGACTTGCAATTTCATGTTTCTTTTTTCATCTACCTATCAATCATCTATCTATTTATCTATCTATCTATCTATCTATCTATATCTATCTATCTATCTATCTATCTATCTATCTATCTATCTATCTATCTATCTATCTATCTATCTATCTATCCATCTATTTTTCCTCTGGATCTGTTGGTGGAAGGAACTTCTTGGTGAGGAAATCCTCCCAGCCAGCCCGAGTAAGTAGGAGATTAAGTGATTTGCTCAGGGTCACGTGGCCAGTCTGTATTCAGAACGACTTAAACCCAAGTCTTCCTGACTCCCCTATGTCATGCTGCCTCTCCAAATTTTATTAGTGATTCTAAAATTATTCACGGCCTCTATAGCTTCAGTATTTAAATCTTTGGCCTCTTGGGGTCAATAACTACAAAAACAAAATACATATATCTATTCGATATTTCTAACATTTTCCTAATGATCATTTAAGTAATCCTTTGTTTCAATATTAAAGGACTGCAATAAATTTTACTGTGGATTTTCTTGTTAAATAAATACTCACCAATCCTTCCTTCTTATACACTAAATTATGCTTCTTTTCAGTAAACTCTTCACAAATCCTTGTGTTTCCTAGTGCTCAACTGGTGTGTGTGTGGACTTTGGCTGCATTAATCTGGAGAAACAGCATCCAAAAGGTGCTCCAGTGGAAAGCATTGTAGTCAAGCATACTAAATCTCTGAGCTGGAAGGGACCTCAAAGGTCATTCAGTTTGGGTTATTCCTAAATAGGAGGAGTTCCTTTGATAGCTTCCTGACAGGTGGTCATCCAGTTTCTACTTGAAGACCCCTAGTGATTTCCCAAGGTAGTCCATTCCATCTTCAGATGAGCGGCAGAGGGGTAGAGAAATGGGCCAAGAAAATGTGTGTTCAAGTCATGTCTCTAATCCACGATACTAACTACAGGTAAATCACTTAACCCTTCAATATCACAGGGCACTGTAACTGATCTGCATCAGTGGAAGGAATTTTCACACCGGCCCTTCACTATGCCATGAAATCACAGGTCTGAACCAAATTACAATAATTCTGAATGAGGTTTTCTTGATATTGAACTTAAACTCCACCTCTTTTATTTCAACTAAATGTATTTTCCAACCTTATCACGACTACTGGCCCGTTTCTCTATTTTCTCAATCTATTTTTCTAGACCTTTGCAGCATTTGGTCCTGTTGATTACTTCTGCCTACTGGATAAACTCTCTTCCTAGGTCACAACTTCTTGTTTCCTTTGCTAGCTTCCCAAGTCCTTGTGACAGATGTTCTCCAATGTTCTTTTCCATTGATACCCCTTAACCCTCATTACTATTCACCTGGACTAGTGTAACAGCCTCATAGCAGGTCTCCCTGTATCCATTGCCTACTCTTTTCAATCTATTTTCTCTCTATCTAATGGAGCTAGGTGGAGTAGGGGAAGACCCCATGTCCAGACCCGGTCTCAGACACTTACTGGTTGTATGACCCTGGACAAGGTACTTAATCCTGTTTGCCTCAGTTTCCTCACCTGTAAAATGAGCAGGAGAAGGAAATGGCAAACCACTCCAGGATCTTTGCCAAGAAAGCCCCAAAGGGGTCACAAAAAGTCAGACATGATGGAAATGACTAAACAACAACAAAAGTGTCATGTAAATATTTTGTGGTACTGTTATCTGTTTGAATTGTATCCTCCTCCATTAGACTTAATGTAAATTTTATGAGGTCAGACAGCTAAACTCCTTGTCTGTCCCAATACCTAACATTTAGCTTTGTATCCTGAAGGAGATTAATTTTTAAAAAACACCTTTTCAGTGAATTTAATGAAAGGCCAATAAAACCTGGTGCCACTAGACTTTTCCAGACTTCTCTCTGTACTCTATCTTACCTCTTCTTTTTCCAATTCACCCTCTACACAACTGCCAGAATTGAAATCCCTAAAGCACAAGTTTGACAAGGCTATGCCCCCGTTCAAGAAGCTTCAGCGACTCCTTCATGCTTCTGGATATGATATAGAGTCTTCTGTCTGGCCGGCCAGTTCCTCACAATCTAGCTGTAGCCTGGCTTCCTACACTGATTGCCCATCACTCCCCTTGACTTGCTGACACGCTGTTCTCCAGACGTGACACCCTTATGTCCAGCCCCTATGCTCTTACACAAGTTCTCTCCCACGCCTGGAATGCTCTCTGTCATCACCTCTGCCTCTTAGAATAACTCTCTTCCTTCAAGGGTCATCAAGTGCCACTCGCTACACAAGGACTTCTCTATATGAGGCATATACAGGATAAACTAGTGGAGAATTTCAGAGAGAAAGGATGTGTCCTCCTGCTCCTCTTTTCTTTTCCCTCTACGCTCTCACTTGGTTATCTCATCAGTTCCCATGGATTCAATTATCTCTCCTATGGAGATGATTTCCAGATCTATAAATTTAGGTTTAGTCTGCAGAGCTACAGCCCCACACTGACAACTATATAGTTGTCTATTAGACATTATTAGATACAACTATGTTGTATATTAGACATCTCAAACTCAACACGTCCAAAAAAGAATTCATCATCTTTTGCCCAAACCTCTCCCCTCTTCTAAACTTCCCTATTACTGCCAAGGGGCACTAGCATCTTCTCCATCACCTGGGCTTGCAACCTCAGTGTCACCTTCAACTTCCATCAGTCATTTCAATATCCAAAGTGGCATCAAACCTTGCAATTTCTACATTCACAATAGCTCTCATATACATCTCCTCTCCATTCACATCTGAGGCCATCATCTCTCCTGTGGCTCACTGCAACATCCTCATTAGTCTTCCTGCCTCAAGTCTCTCCCACCTCCTGTCCACCTTCCACTTAGCTGCCAAAGTGATTTTGCTAAAGCATTAGATATGGCAATACTACCCCTTTCCTACTCAATAAACTGCAGCAGCTTCTTATTACCTCCAGGATCAAATACAAACTCCTCTGTTTGACACTTGACATTTTTCATAAATGGGTCACTTCCTACATTTTTAGTCTTCACACACTTTATTACCTTCATGCAACTACACTGGGTGACTTGCTTTTCGTCACACAACAGCACTCTATCTCTCATCTTCAAGCCCTGCCACTGGCTGTTCTATACGTCTGAAATGCTCTTCCTTCTCATGTCTTCCTCTTACTTTCCCTGGCTCCTTTCAAGACTCAGGTCAAGTCCTACCTTCTGCAGAAGTTCCTGGTGCTCCCCCGCTGCTAGTGCCTTCCTTTCTAATACTACCTTCTATCAACTCAGTTTATATTGTATGTGTGTGTGTATGTGTGTATATATACATATATGTATATATGTGTGTTTGTGTATCTATACACATATATTTGCATATATATAGTTTTTAACATGTCTCTCCCTAATATACTGTAAGCTCTTTGAAGGGAGAGAAGCTTTGCCTTTCTTTAAATGTCCTGTGCTTACCACAGTAAGGGCTTAATGAATGCTTTCAGACTGGCTCTTTCGCTATGAATATCTATGCAATTGTATTTTTATTAAAACTTTAAGTTTACTTTGTTAATGCTGTATACCAATATATAGAAACACATGTGAGGTTTTAAGTTTTATCCACAGCCCTTTTCTCTGTCATCTGTGTCCTATAAATTACTGTCACATCTCCTATTCTTCCTTTAATGGCATACCTGCTATCTTCCAGTTTTATAGTACCCAATTTTGTAATTTTATCTAGGGATTTATTTTTATCTCCTCAGTTTTCAATGATCAGTTTGTTTCTTGCCAAACACATTCTTTCCAGTCCTCCTGAGATGTACTGTCTTCATTACCCAGAGCCTATCATTAGGATATCATAAATTTTCATCCAGAAAATGGAGTTCTATTCTTTACCACTATCTGTGTAACCAGCTGTTTTCAATTCCCATATCCTTTCTCTTTCAAAATAAAAACCTTCCAGTGTTAGAATGAAAATGCTTCTTCTTCTTCTTCTTCTTCTTCTTTTTTTTTTTTGCTAAGTCTCTAAATTTCCAAGTTGTGACTTTAAAATCACTAAAGCAGGGACAGATTTCTTCTGGAGAACTAGGTAGAGGTTGAGAATTTGATAACAGATCTCTGACTTGGATATATATCCCGGTAAACCCAGACATATCTAGATTAATTCTATAAACTCTATCAATGGTCTTATCATCATATAACAGGTCATCATCATATAACAGTAATAAATAACAAATAATAATGCTGAATCTTAGAGTAATCTTCTATTATTTATTATGTCCCTCCCTGTGTTGCTGCTCCTGTCTGTCACCTAGTCTACTAAATATTTTTGTGAGATCCCCTATATTGAATAGCTGGTGGTATCCCCCCAAATTATGTACCCTTATTCCCTTAAACTCTAAGCCCTAAGAGAATATATACATACCTGGGCTTCATGCTTCAAGCACTTTGGCTAACAGTGCAGGAAAGGAGGTAGCTAGGTGGCTCAGGGGACAGAGTGTTGGGTTGAGAGGCAGGAAGACCTGAGTTCAAATCCAGCCTCAGACATTTACTAGCTGTGTGACCCTTAACCTCTGTTTGCCTTAATCCCACTGGATACCGAAATGGCGAACCACTCCTGTATCTTTGCCAAGAAAACTTCATGGACAGCATGGTCCATGGGGTCATGAAGAGTCAGACTGGGCTGAACACACACAATTTATATACTGGTCAGGTTCAGCAAATGTACCAGATCCCAACGATGCTGGCCTTGGGCAGAAAATTCAAGCTACTTATACTGCATCCCAGACCGCTCACAGTGAGCTCTTTAAAGGCGGACACTATTTAGTTCTTTTTCTTTGTATCTCCAGCACCTAACACACTGCCTTGGACCCAGTAAGCGCTCAATAAATGCTTGGCTTTACACCCCTGTTCTGTCTCAGCTCTGTATTATTATCTCAGATAAGTCATTCTGGTCTTCAGTTTCCCAATTTTCTTTTAAAGAAAATAACTCTAATGGGTTAGATAGCCAGATTTTCCTTTACCAAACTTGTAAAAACTTTATGTAAACTTTATGTAAAGTGGGTATTTGAGTTTCACCTCATTTATTTTGTGGAATATGTAAATTTTCCTATCTTCCAAGATAAACATATTTTTGGACCCACATGTTTTACAAAAATTTGTGGTAGCTGATAATTTATTTTTATTTTATTTATATTTTCCAATATTTTTATTTATATTTATCATGTTTTTATTGATGCCTTTTTTTTTTAACAATTCGTTAATTTCCTGATTTATCCCTTCTAACAAAGAAAAACCATTAAGGAAACTGACCCCAAAAGTGATTGCATCAGTAGCAGACATTTGAAAAAGAAATGAGGGAAGAGGAAAGGGAATGAAGAGGAAGTAGAAGAGGTTTGCAAAACTGAGACTAAAATTATAAAAATTCAAATATTTAATTTGTTGTATAGGGTGAATCATATTTACTCCTACATCTCAGTGGTATATAGAAATATTTTACATTTAAAGAAAAATGATCTTAGAACTGAGAAACCAATTTTTTTCCTTACCAAATACATCTATCTATATTTATCCATATGAATAATACAAATGAATAAAAATACCTTGATTTTTAGTCAGTTTTAAAGTTGTTTAGCCACATTTCGCACAGGTTTCTTACCTGTGCCTCTCTAAATATGTAGGGTCCTAATTCTTTCCTGTGCTCTATAATCTTCTGAGCTTGATCAAATGGAAGGTCAATTTGCAGAGCTGGTGGAATACTGGAATTAATAAAGCAGTTGATGATAGTTGTGATCTTATTCTGGATAATAGCATCCTCACAGTGAGAATGGCACAAGTCCTACACAATGAGAGAAGAAAGAAGAAAGAGTCAAATATTCAGGTGCTCCCTATTAACTATTGACTAAACCTGCATGCCTTTTGGCAAATCACTCAACCTCTCTGGACCTTTTGGCATAGTGCCTGACACACAATAAGTCCCTAAAAAAATGCTTATTTGATTAACTGACTAACTAAAAGTGGTATAAACTGTATTAGGTCTTGAAATAAAGGAACTCAGCTGAGAGCTCAGAGCCATTTAGTCCAGATGCCTAATTTTACAGATGAGTCATAATAATAGCTAGCATTTATACAGGGCTTTAAGGTTTGCAAAGTGCTTTACAAATATCTTTCTTCATAGCTACCTATAATCCAATTTCCTACCCCCTCATTCCATTGAAATGCCTCTCTTCAAAGCTACTGGTGATTTTCTAACAGTCAAATCCAAAGGCCTTTTCTCCACCCTCATTTTTCTTGACTTCTCTGCAGCCTTTGCCACGGTCCATCACCCTTTTCTCCTGGGTTTTTGGGACACCACTCTCCCCAGACAGGTTTTCCTCTTACCTGTCTGGCTTTTCTCTTTTACCTTACTTTTCCTCCTACCTGTCTGGCTCCTCCTGCACTGGATGTTCATTCAGGTCACATCCACTAACCCTGGGTGTCCCACAGGGCTCTTTTCTGGGCCCTCTTCTCTCCTCCCTCTATACTATTTCACTTTTCCCTCAGGTCTTTGTAACTTTGTAACTCTAGGTCAAGTACTCTTTCCAATGTCTCATCTAGCTGTGTCTATATCGAAGGTATTCTCAAAGGGGAGAGTACTAGCAGTTAGGGGCACCAGGAATGGTCTCCAATAAAATGAGACTTGAGCTGAGCCTTGGAGGAAGCCAGGGAAGAGGTAGAGGTAAGGGGGGACAGCATGTTCTTGATGGTTATGCTCTTGATTTTCCTCAGCTGATTTGTGTTAGCTCAATTTGTGAAGCTCCCTCACAGAGTACGAGCTTCTTAAAGGTAGTGACTGGGTCTAATGTCATCTTTTTGTTCTTAATATTCAGCACAGAGCCCTGAACATGATAGGCATTTAATATTTACTGAATTGAAAATAACTTCCTTAATGAAGATACTTTAATCATGAGGGCACTTCAGTTATATCAAAAGATATAATATATTAACAGACCTGAGAAACTGGAAAGAGATACTGGAAAGTATGCAAATGAGAAAGTATACGTAAAGCACTTTGCAAACATTAAACTACTGAACAAATAGTAGCAGTTTTAATTTCTTAGATTATGAAATACCTGGGATGCAGATTGGTGAACCCTAATGAATTAGTGCATTCAACTCAAAGTCATTCTAAGCCAAAAGTCTTGAAATATGTCCTACCAGTTAATTTACATAAACACCTAGGTGAATGGGGAAAACCAAGACTATTTGCCAGATAAGGCAATATTCAAGCCTGGAATGAAAAACCACACAAATGCACAAAAATAGGGCATTTATGGGGGTAGGCCATGCCCACGACATTATATTGTGTCATTTTCTTCCTCTGCCATGTGGTGTAGCTTGGCTTACTTGTATAGCTGTATGAAATTTATAATTCAACATAAATGTAATCAAGTTTATGATAGATAACCGTCATAGGATTTTTTTGAGAGATGTGGTAGGTTGGGTTAGAATGACCGAGCAAACTAAAAAAAAAAAAAAGAAAGAAATTAAACAAGACTAAAAATAAAGTTTCACACTTGGGTTTAAAAATTCAGTGATTGAACTTCTGGTGAGATAGTTAGTGAAAACTGCTAGGTATTTCTAGTTCTCTTCCCCTACCATCTCAAAAATAAGCCCAAAAAAGAAAAATCAAAAGTGGAGAAAGAAAAGAAAATATTCCTGAAAAGCAATCCTCCCCTGCTCCCCAACAACAAAAAAAAAGCAAAGAAAAATGCAAGGGGCCCCACTATTAGCATCCTGCCCTGTGCTCACAGGCTCTGTTCTAAAGGTTCTGAGTGCTAAAAACTCCGGAGGAAACTGAATCAAAGGAAATTTGGAACTAACAGCAGGTATAGTGGGGAATCACCGAGAAGCTGCAATAGCCACTCATAACTGCATCTCCTCTCAAAAACAAACCAGGAGCTAATTGTGGATGGGGTGCTGTGTGTATATTATGATGAAGGAAATCAGTAAGCAAAGGAAGATTCCTAATATGACAAAATACTATGGGGTAAAAGAATCTCAGGACAAAATACCAAAGGAAGGAGAAAAATTCTGAAATAACTGTAAGTAAAATATCAGAAAAGACAATGAAATGGCCACAAGGACACTAAGTGTGATTAAAAGGCCTAGTTTAAAAATAAAAAAGAATGAGATGAACAGCTTAGAAGCTTTTGCAAAGAAATATAAGCCAAAAATTTTAGTAGTTAAAAGTTCAAAGTGAAAGGGTCAAGTAGTGATCTCCTCATCCCTACAAGTGTTCAGTCAGAGGCCTGACTGTTGAACTAGTTAATTGAACTAGTTGAACTAGATAATTGTGAAGTTACCTCTTTGAATTATAAAATTTTTTTGATCAAATTTAACAATCTGAAAATAAATGGTTTTTGTCTAATCACTCATTCTTTGGAAAGGAGAAAATTAGCAATGGTCTCAGATTCAGGAGATCTGAGTTCAAATTTCAGCTCTGCCACTTACAAATCTGGGTGTAACTATGGAAAGCTTTCCTTGGTTATAAAATATAATAATGTTCATATAACATACGAACATTATATACTTAATTAATTATATTAACATGTAAAAATGCTCATAAAATATAATAATGCTCATATTATCTACTTTACAAAACTATTGTGAAGAAAATATGTTGTAAACCATAAAGAGCTATATAAATGTTAGTTATTATTCCTATAGAATAATTTTTTCCTTTATTGATTTATTTGTAATCCATGATCTTTGTTATAGCTCCTATGAGTGGAAGAAATTTACTTTTCGTTTCCTTGGTTACAGTGGCAAACATAGAAATATGACAGAAAAGTGTATGTGTGGTATGTTTATAAACAATATGCAGAAATAAGATTTAAAGTGTTATAATGAATATAATGGCATATTACTATAGGTCAAATTTTAATTCACTTTAAAATGGACAATTTTCTTTCAAAGTTCACTATTATTTCATGCTATATATAAACACAAAAGGATCTAGGATATTAACCATTTTGTTATTGTCCAACAGTTGAATAATATACACTTTAATGTTTATATATGAATGGAGAAAGGAACAATGTTTTAAAATTAAATTAATGAAAAACATATCTATCATTTGCACATTTTCTACTCAGTTAAAAATCTGAAATTTCTATGCATTTTCTCTTTAACATAAATAAGTGGTTTATTTCAGTTTATTACAGTACCTTATATTTTTGAACCTCTTGCCAGAAGAGTACTCCATTTCCCAATAAATCTCCTTTTAATGATACAAATTGTTGAAACAATTTTGCTATTAGAGGGTTCAATAATGCTTTACGGAAAGCAATAATGTCAGCAGATGAAGCTATCCATTTACTCTCCTCAGGCTGTTCATAACAGAAAATACAACAAATGAGCTTTGTTTTTTTTTTCAATCTCTCCAACCTTTCCAATAAAAAAGGCATTAGTTAGGTTAAGTTTTCCAACTCCTATTTCCTAACCCTTATTTTTAAAAGTTATGACATAAATATTATAGATCTTGGCATTTTCCTTCCTCGGGTCTACTGTCTACTGTCTTGTCTCTTTTTGGAGACAGGACACAGAGGGAGCAACACTTTTTTAAGGGGTGGAGTATAGAGAAAATAAATGTATTATTTAGAATGAAAGACTATATTGTATAATAATGAAAACTGTCATAAGTTATAACTGTGATCACAAACTACTTTTTATTGCACAATAAGAGCTTTGTGCTAAAAGGGTAAATACACAATCACTTAGCAAATGCATCAGTTTTTGATTTAAAGATCAATTTAGCCAATCCAGCTTAAAGTATGTCACTATTATCAAGAAACAGAGGTTACCCAATATATTACTCTAGAAAAAGGAACCAATAGAGAAGTGTAGCTTGGTATCATCCAATCTATTATCCTTATATATTGACATATCCACTAAAGTCTTGCTCTGGCACATCTGATGCCTGGGTTTGGAAGTGACCCAGAGTTCTCCTCTGTCACTGTAGTGCATATCATGGTAAGTCTTATACCAAACTGGAAAGGTTTTGAAAATAGGTTTGGTGGCATATTATGTTTGCCATCCAAGAACCAGACTATGGAAGTTCAGAGAGTTTCATTGCCACACTGGTTGTAGGATGATGAATTTTTCAATCACAGAAACTCTCAAAAAACATCTGCTAAATTGTAAAGAATTCTTTGGAACATTGAAACATATTGAAAGAAGGCAAATGAAAAGAGGACAAAACTGAAAAGAGAAATCCAATGCCATTCCAATGTAAAATATATCATCATTTGAAAGGGAACTTCAGTTCATCCTTCATACTCTCTCTTTTATTTTGTAGAAATTTCATTATCTGAGAATTAGAAGGGACTTTGTAGGTCATTTAGCCCAACCCCTATTTTGGGTATCTAGGCATGAAATGGCTTTATAACATTCAATTGAACAGATATTTATTAAATGCCTCGGTTGAACTGCATGGCAGAATACTCTTCTAGGTCCTATAGAAGATATATGTTTAGAAGAGACAGGGTTCAAGAATCTTGTAATCTAGTGGAAACCTTGAGGAGTGGTCAATCTGCTTCTGTCTGTAGATTTCCCATGAGAATGAACTTACTACTTTATCAAGCAAGTAATCATGCATGCAAGCAAGCAAGCATTTATTAAACTATCTATGTCAGACACCACATTAAGCATAAAGGATACAGAGATAAAAATAAAAGTCACTGCCCTCAGGGAACTTACATTCTAAGAGGAGGAATCACATATACATGTGTATGTAAAGAATATATGTAAAATGAATGCACGGGGATTTTGGGGAAGAAGAGATCAGCAGCTATGGGGATCAGGAAAGCTTTCTTAAAAGGGCGTGCTTTAGCTGAGTCTTAAAGGAGACAAAGGATGAGGAGGAAGTGCATTTCAGGCACAGGAAGCAGTTCTAGCAAAGGCACAGAGATGGGGGACAGAGTATCATATCTAAGGAAGAACAAGAAGGCTAGGAGGGGTTAGTAATGTGTAACAAAGCTGGAAAGGTTGGTTGGAGCCATGTTGCTAAGGGCTTTTAATAGCAGAATTTATACTTTGTCCTCGAGGCAATATGGAACCACAGGATTTTACTTTTAAGTAAGGGAGTGATAGGGTCAAAACTGTGATTTAGGAAAATGACTTTAGTGGCTGTACGGAGAATGGACTGTGGCGGGAGCACATTGAAGCCAGGGGAGTAATAAGAAGGCTAATGAAATAGTCCAGGCAAGAAAGAGGCAATGAGGGCCTCAACTACAGTGTAAGTGGAAAGAAAAGGGTACATGGCAGAGATGTTGAGAAAGAAATGATAAGACTTGGCAACTAGTTGGATATGTAGGGCGAGTGAGATTGAGGAATCAAGGATAACATTGAGACTGTGAGACTGAATGAATGGAAAGAGGATGGTGCCCCCAAGAGTAATAGGGAAGTTTGGATGCATAGTGAGTTGGGGTGGGGGGGAAGGGAATTAACAAGAGTTTCTATTTTAGACATGTTGGACTTGAGATGTCTATAGATTAATCTGTTGGAAGTGTCCAATAGGTAGCCATTGATGAGGGACTAGAGCTCAGGAAGAGTATAAGGCTGGATATATTAAATTTGATTAAATTCAGTATACATTGATTAAGTGCCTCCTATGTGCCACGCACTGTGCTAAGGGTTAGGGATATAATTAAGAAAAGGAAAGGCAGTACCTGTCCCTAAGGACCTTATGATGTAATGAGGAAGACAACATACAAAAGGAAGATGAAAAGGGGGAGGACAATCAAGGGGTCCTTGGTGTGTGGGTATGATGTTCTTGGAGTCAAAACCAAGCAGAACTCTTGGTGGAAAATGAAATATATAGATCAGGCAGTCATCTACATAGAGAAGATCAGACCCATGGAAGCTGATGAGGTTACCACTTGAGAGAGTGGATAGAGTGAATAATAAGGAAGTCTGAGACAGGGGTAAACATCAAATTTGCCAATGATGCAAAGCTAGGAGGAATCACTAACATGTTTGATGACAGATTTAGGATCCAAAATGATCCTGAAAGGTTAGAATATTGACCAAATTCAATTAGATGAAATTTACCAAGGATCAAAGGAAAACCTTGTACTTGGGTTAAAAAAAAATCAACTTTATAAATAAAAGTTGAAAGTATCATAGATTTAAAACCAGAAGGGATCTCAGAGGTCATCTTGCCTAACTCCATCATTTTACAGATGAGGAAACTGAGGCAAATAACTTATAAAGTCACTCAGGTTTTAAGTAGAAGAGTCAGATTTTTCACTTTAGTAAGAGACAGGGAAGACAAACAGTGGTTTTTCTGAAAGTTATCTAGGAATTTTAGGGGCAGAGTGAAGGGTGTGCCTTGGTGATTAACAAAGCTACAGATATCTTCAGAGACGTTGAAAGGCAGTTGAAAGGCACTTCAGGACTGCTGAAGTGATGGAGTCATTCTGTATTCTGTCCTGTTCAGACCACATTTGGCCAACACATTAGCTTCAGTTTCAGTAACTGTTCCTTCAGCTCCTTCCACTTTAGGAAGGAGAGTAAGGAGATGTAGCAGCATTAGGGTCAGGAAGATCTGGGTTTTCAGGTTTTGCATCTGTTACATAGTGGATGTGTGATTGTGGACAAGCCCCAGGCTGCTCTCTAAGACTATACATTGAAGAGAAAGTGCCAATGTGAGAAAGTGCCAATGTACATCATTAGAGAAAGTTCCTCACTTGGCACTCTCTACATTATAGGTCTGGTAAAAAAAAAAATTGAGATAAACTTGGAGGGTGTCTGGAGGAGGGACTAGTATGACCACATTAAGTTTGGTTGAAAGAAATTGGTTTGAGAAAAAACTGAAGTGGGGACATGAGAGCTGCAAGTATTTAAGGTGCTAGCCTGGGGAAGAGTTGTTCTCCTGGACTGCAGAGAAAACAACTAGGATGAAATGGCTGAATATTTCCAAAAGGAAGATTTGGGCCTGAGACAAGTGAAAAACTTCCTAACAATTAGAGCTACCTAGAAAAAGAATGGTCTGTTTGGAGAGATAATGAGGTTCTCTCCTAAAAGGAGTCTTTAACAAAACCCACTCATAGAGGGTATTGTCAAGGGAATTCTTGTTCAGGCATAGTCTGGCCTAGATGGCTCCAATGCCTTTCAACTCAGAGATTCTGTGAATCTATCCAAGACCAATTATGAGGAATTATTGCATAATGGAGGGGACCAATACAGGAATCAGGCTTTATAGTGAGGTGAAGTGACCACTAAGTTACAAGCAAGAATGTCTAAAGAAGTACTTGAAGCTTGTACTGATGGAAAACATGGAGCAACCATAAAAACTGTTGATTTATGGAAAATGACAGCAACAAGGAAGCTAAAGTAATAGAGATGATTGGTTCTGATCAGTTTGACAACACATGGAATTTATGTGATTAAGAAATAGGCATAAATGGCAGCAGGTTCTGAGAGAGCAACCAGTGTCCAAAGGAGCTGAAGGGAAAAAAAAAAACCAAAAAAGGACACCAAGGCAGAGTCAAGGGAAGCCAGGAAATGAAATATAACAGTCAAACACAAGAAAATGCCGGAAGCAGAGAGTGCCTAGAAGCTGATAGTTGAGATGTTGTTGGACCTGTAGAAGTCAGCTGAGGGAACATGTATATTTATGAAAGTCAAGACACAGGTAAACAGTCAAGAACCAGGGAATACACGGGAATTAATTAGATCAAAGTACGACAGAAGAAGTCAGAAATCTGGCAAGCAGTCAGAATAGCAGAAAGGGGGCACCATCAAGGAGGAGATCCTGAACCCCTACCTCAGACCGGATGCCTGTTGCGTACTTCTTGCTGGAACGGGAGCCAGTCCCAAGAGATGGCCTGCGTGAGGCCTGCAGGGTGGAGCAAGTAAAACATGTTAGGGATATTAGTTCATGTGACAGGCCTGTGGGGCTAGGGATAATAAGAGCAGATCTTGGCACCTAATTACATACAATAAGAGAGATTAAGCTGCTTGAAGGTTGCTCTGAAATAAATTCTGCTGTACTCCATAAAAACAATAAAAAGATATGGTTAGAAATGGCATACTCGAGCACAATCATACAATAAAAAGGTGTTATTGTCCATTCATAACCATCCACAAAAAGTGGTGAAGTTATTGCTATTGTCATATTGTCACATAAATTAAATGTACGTGAAAGGTAAATACACATACACACATAACGGTGGTCAGGTGTTCTGATATTTACTGAGCACAGAAAGAAAAAATGTTGCTGCAATAGTGTATATTGATACACTAGATTTCAAGAAAGTATTACTGATGATTACTATCATTAATCTTTGGTAGAGATTGCTGAGGGATGTTAAGAAACAGCTTTGGGAACTTTTTTTTAAAAATACTTATGGAGCCAAGATGGCGGAGTACAGGTTGGACCCTGAAGAACTCTCCTGATATTTCCCTCTAAACAACTTTAAAATAATGCCTCAAATCAAATTTTGGAGCTGCAGAGCCAACAAAAGGTCAGAGGGAGACACTTTTCTAACCTACAACAATTTAGGAGGTCTGCGAGGAAAGTCTGTAACACTGGGTTGGGTGCAGGTCTGGAGCACTACAAGAGCACCAGTGGTGAGCCTTAGAGACAGCTGTGACAGCAGCAGCAGCGGCTTCAAGAGCTCTGAGCCCAGAGATGGCAAGGGGTCAGACAAATGGTCAGAAAGAGATTACAGGAGACGTGCTGCTGGCACTGCATACGGCTGGTGTTGATTGGCATCTCTATTGCCCATAAGCAGCTCTAGGTTGCAGTACAAGGGCAGAGAGAATTGGCGATTGGTCTCAAGGGAGCAAAAGTCTTGGTCACACAGCTCCAGGGCCAAAAGCAGCGTGAGAACAAGGGACCTGGTCACGGTTCCAGGACAAGGAGGAGCAATAGTACGTGTGGCTGCAGGGGAGCAGGGGCCCTTTCTGGGTAAAAACCAGTGCGCAGACCAAGACAGCAGTGACCACATCTCTCCCAGGATAACACTACCAGGGTAACAAAAACTTGCAGATACCCAGAACTAGCTCTGACAACTGTAGCACAAAAATGCCTGAAGTTTGGCACAGTGCCTCCCCACTCCCAGGAGAGCAGAACCCAACTTTAATATAAAATTTAAAATTAAGAAATAGGCTGGAAAAATGAGTAAACAACCAAAAAAGAACTTGACCATAAAAAGCTACTATGATGGAAGGGAAGACCAAGACACAAAGTTAGATGAAGACAGCAGTGAAAATAGCTACAAGCAAAGCCTCAGAGGAAAATGCTCATTGGACCCAAGGCCAGCAAGAATTCCTGGAAGCATTAAAGAAAGAGATAAGAGTGGTAGAGGACAAAAATGGGGAAAGAAATGAGAGTGATACAAGAAAATTATAAAAAGATAATTAGCAGCTTGGTAAAAGAAGCGTGAAAAAATACTGAAGAAAATAACATCTTAAAAAACAGAATGGGTAAAAGAGTCACAAAAATTCACTGAAGAAAAGAATGCTTTTAAATGGTAAAAGAGTCACAAAAATTCACTGAAGAAAAGAATACTTTTAAAAGCAGGCTTGGCTAAATGGAAAAAGTGGTACAAAAGTTCACCGAAGAAAATGATTTCTTAAAGATTAGAATTGGCAAGGGGAAGCTAATGACTCTATGAGATTTAAAGAAACAATAAAACAAAGTCAAAAGAATGAGAAAAAAAAAAGAAAATAAGAAATACCTCATCAGAAAATCAACTGACCTGGAAAACAGATTGAGAAGAGATAATTTAAGAATTATTGAACTACCTGAAAGCCATAATCAAAAAAAGAGCCTCGATATGTTTCAAGAAATTACAAAAAAAAAATGCCTTAATATCTTAGACCCAGGGGGTAAAGTAGAAATTGAAAGAACCCACTAGTCACCTTCTGAAAGAGATCCCAAAATGAGAACTCCTAGGAATACTATAGCCAAATTCTAGAGCTCCCAGATCAAGGAGAAAATATTGCAAGCAGTCAGAAAGAAACAATTCAAATATCATGGAGCCACAGTCAAGCTCACACAAGATTTAGAAGCTTCCACATTAAAGGAGCAGAAGGCTTGGAATATGATATTCTGGAGGGCAAAGGAGCTCAGGTTACAATCTAGAGTAACCTACCCAGTAAAACTGAGTATAATCTTTCAGGGGAAAAAATGAATATATAATGAAAATGAGGACTTCCAAGTATTCCTGATGAAAAGACCAGAGCTGCTTCTCAGCAATACAATGATCCAAGACAATTCCAAGCCTCATGATGGAAAATGCTATCCACATCCTAGAGAAAGAACTGATGGAGTCTGAATGCAGATTGAAGCATGTTATTTTCACTTTACTTTTTTCAGTTTTTTTTCTTTTTGTTCTGTTTCTTCTTTCATGGCATGACTAATATGGAAATGTGTTTTACATGATTGCATATATATAAGCTATATCAAATTGCTTACCATTTTAGGGAGGAGGGTGGGGAGGGATGGGGAAAATTTGGAACTGAAAATTTCATTTGAAAAGTGAATGTTAAAAAATTGTCTTTACAAGTAATTGGAAAAAATAGAATACTATTTTTTAAAAAGAGTAATGAAAATAGAACAGGCAAAGAAAAAAAAAAAAGACCAGAGCTGAATAGAAAATCTGACATTCAAACAGAAGCATAACAACTTAAAACATCAAAGAGTAAATGTAAGGGACTCAATGGTGTTAAACTGTTTACATTCCTATATGGTAAGAGGATACCTGTAACTTCAAAGAACTTTATCTTTATTGGAGCAGTTAAGAGGAGTCTGCATAGATAGAGGGCGTGGGTGTTAGTCCATTATGTTGGGATGATCTCCAAAAAAAAAAAAATGTAGGGGTGAGAAAGAGGAATGCACTTGGAGAAGGGGGAAGGGAGAGGTAGAAAAGGACAGATTTTCTTACATAAAGGAGGCATGTAAGGAAGAGCTTTTCTAATGAAGGGGAAAATGTTGGCTGGAGGGGTGGTGGTGGCAGGCAATGCTGGAATCTCACTTTCAGTCTCTGTCTCTGTCTCTGTCTCTCTCTCACACACACACGCACACGCACACACTCATGCACATACACAGTTGGGCACAGTAATCTATCTAACCCAATAGAGAGATAGGAGGAGAAGGAAGATATATTGGGGGGGGGGGGAGATGTGCAGTGAGAGGGCAATTAGGAAGGTAGTGGTTAGAAGCAAAATAGACTTTTGATGAGGGACAGGACAAAAAGAGAAAGAGAAAGAAGAATAAACAGAAGAGAATGCTATGGAGGGAGATATACAGTTAGTGATCATAACTGAAGGTGAATGAGATGAACTCACCCACAAAACCGAAGCAGATAGCAGAATGTTTACAAGAGACACACTTGAAACAGATACATACAGAGTTGAAGTGAAAGGCTGGAGAAGAGTCCATTACAATTCAGCTGAAGTAAACAGGGGAGAGGTGGCAATCATGATCTCAGACAAAGCAAAAGCAAAAATAAACCTAATTGAAAGAGATAATTAGGGATATTACATTTTGTAAAAGGTACCATAGACAATTAAGTCTATAAAGCCTATGAAAAATTTTACAGCAAGTTTCTCTGATAAAGGCCTCATTTCTCAAATATATAGGGAACTGAGTCAAATTTATAAAAAAGAAAAGCCATTCCCCAATTGATAAATGATTAAAGGATATGAACAGCCAGTTTTCAGAAGAAATCAAAGCTACCTTTAATCATATGAAAAAATGCTCTAAATCACTCTTTTTTTTCTGTTTGTTTTGGTTTTTGGTGAGGCAATCAGGGTTAAGTGACTTACTCAGGGTCACACAGCTAGTAAGTGTCAAGTGTCTGAGGCTGGATTTGAACTCAGGTCCTCCTAATTCTAAGGCCTGAGCTCTATCCACTAAGCCACCTAGTTGCCCCATCTAAATCACTCTTGATTAGGGAAAGGCAAATTAAAACAATTCTGAGGTACCACCTTTAAAAAATGACAAATGCTGGAGGGGATAAGGGAAAATAGGTATATTGATGAACTGTTCCTAAACAAGTTCACTAGTTCAACTAATCCAACCATTCTGGAGAAGAATCTAGAACTATGCCCAAAGGGCTATAAGACAGTGTATGCCCTTTGATCTAGCAATACCACTACTGGATCTGTACCCCCAAAGAAATAAAAGAAAAAGTATATATATATACACACACACAAAAATATTTACAGTACATTTTTTTGTGGTGGCAAAGAATTGGAGACTGAGGGGACACTCATCAATTGGGGAATGGCTGTGATGAAGTCTAGAGGTTTAGGGGTGCTAGGACCCCAAGATCACGACACGTCGGTCCTGCCTGAAAGAATTCGACCCAAGCCTTCTTTCAGCTAAAGACTAGGTTTATTAGAACATCCGTCATATTGGGCAGACTCTTAAGGAGTCTGAACATTGGCTGGATTTTAAGAATCTAAGCCTTTGGCTAGATTATAAGAATCTGAGCACCTTAATGGAGACAAGATGGACCTTATATACAGAAAGACTGTGGGAGGAATCTAGGAGTGGCCAAGTAGTTTTCGGGACTGTGAGGTAATAGAATGCCGAGACCTGGACCACTTGACCAAGGGAGAATGGAGCCTAGCTAGGACGAAAGTGACCTGGGGCCATAGGGATATAAGACAATGGAGGGTTAGGCTAGGGTAAAGGTAACAGAACTGGAAGGTTGGGTGTAGGCAATAACAAAAGGCCAGTTGATGGGATTATAGCCTCAGGCAAACGTTAGAGATCTGGCCATGTGGGAAAGTCCAGGGTTTTTCCTTTCTGGGGTCTAGATGCCAACCTCATCAGCTGAAGAAGTTGTTGCATATGAATGTGATGGAGTACTATTATGCTATAAGAAATGATGATGGGGGGGTGGTTTCAGAAAAAAATATATGACAAGACTTATATGAACCAATGCAAAGTGAAGTGAGAAGAACTGGGAGAACATTGTACACAGTAACCACACTGTTGTAATGATGATCAACTGTAAAAGACTTGGTTATTCTGATCAATACAGTGATCCAAAACAATTTCACAGGATTCATGATGAAAAAAATGCTATCCACCTCCAGAGAGAGAACTGATGAATGCTGAGTGCAGACTGAAATATAATTTTCTCACTTTCTTTTCTTTTTCTTTCTTTTTTTTTTCTTCTGCTTCCCCCCCCTTCAGTATGGTTGATACATTTTGCATGATTTTACATGTATATTTGATTTCATATGGTTTGCCTTCTCAGTGGGTGGAGAAAGTTTTGGGAGGTGGGGAGCAAATCTGGAACTAAAAATTTAAAAAGAATGTTAAAAAATAATAAATACTTTAAAAAAGACTTATTTTAGGATAGTTTAATTTTAATGGTTCTTAAAGACTAGAGGAAGGATTAAGGGACCTTTTAAAAGCAGTTTCAGCTCTAAGATTCTGTGATTCTATGAAAGTAAAAATAGTAAAAAATCTGTAAGGGTTAACATTCTGATCCTGAAATGGATATTTTGAGTGTACTCCAGAGGTTAAGGAATATAAAAACTCAAGTTAGCCACTATGTTTAAACTATTATCATTGCTATTTTAATGGGATTTAAATCTGGGATTTGGGTTTTCATCAATGTAGGGAGATTCCTGTGCTGGAAACTCTTCTTATGAATGCATATTATCAGGTAATCTTCACTTCTTTTAGAGATTTGCCTGGAGGACTAAGAGTTTAAATCTCTTACCAAAGGTCATATAGCTAGAACAGCCAGGGACATACTTGAACCTGTGCATTCCTAATTCCAAGGTCAGTCTTCTATTTGCTACTTTATATTGCCTCTCATCTAAACTATATTTCATATTAAATCATTTTAGAAGTACTATCTTTCTACTCAAAGCTTCATTACAGAGAAAATTTTTAAAAAAGAATACTTTGTTCCTCCAAAATTTGTAATCCTTTATAACCAGAATGATCCTAAGATGCATGTTTTTTCTACATTGGGGAGTGCCTTATATTGGTTAAACTTCTGTAAGAAACAGGGATAATAAAAGATCACTCTCTTTACCTTTTATCGCCTCCCATGTATTTTGGGTGTCAACAACTCATTTGAATAGTTCAAATTCTAGCTAATGTAACTGTAGTTACATTATGAGAAGTGTCTTCTCATCATTTTCCCCCTTAATTTCGTGTTGATTCTGATCTCTGCTATAACTAGCTGATGATGTAACTATAGAGACAGATGATTCTGACATGAATCCTACATCAATAAGCTGTAATTTCCTGCCTGTTAAGAAATAATCCATTTCATGTGTACATGTGGTGTTGTTCAACGCTTGCCATGTCCAATGCCTTCAGATTATCTTCTTAAGGAAAGCAATCACAACATAGAGGTATGAGTCTTCCAAGTTGTCTCTAAGCCTTTGTCCTCTCTTTTGTTACTTGAACTTGAAACATATTTTCCAATCTATTTTTTCCACTAACCTCTCCTGTGCTCATCTTTTCACTGAAATCAACGATTCAGAATATATGTTGTCTTGGCTTGGTATATATTGTCAAGCTCTTCACATAATGTCTCAACTTCTTCACCCTTTAAAACAGATACTGATGCTTCAGCTAAACTATTTTCATAGTGGTCTTTTCACATATGTTCATCCTGAAAACTTCAAGGTACAATGAGCTTCCTGTGAAATGTTTCCTGTTGTTCTTCGGCAATAGATGAAGCCATCTCCAACAAAGCCTTTATCTCTCCAAGGAGAACCTGCTAACCGTTCCTCCATTTAATTTCAATTTCCTTTTGTCTTCCTTTTTCATTTATTGCAAACATGCCAAACTTCATGTGGTTGTTTTTTTCCAATAATACGTCAAGTCCTTGGCCCCCAGACAATTTCAAGTAACTCAGTATTTAAATCAAAAGTCTTTTAAAATTTTAAGAAAAAGCTATCTTGTTAAGGGAATCTTAAAATTTTAATAGAAAAAAATATACTGGAGTTTCAGAATAATTCTATTTTTGTGGTTTATATTGTATTACCATACTATGATGAGAATCTATTTGAAGTCTTTCTAAATATCCAAGGATGAGGTTCCATCTTCACTTCAATTAATGGAATTACAAGATGTTAAGAGTAAGAATGGTCATACTGTGATGTTTTAAACCTGTGAACAAGATGGTTTATGCCCTGTGATCTCTTTATGAGTTTATTAGGTCAAGAAGGGATTAGAGACTGGATAGCCAAGTAGATGTCCAGGCTCTAGGTGCTTTAAAGTAGTGGAGGATTCAATGAGTCAATTGGTTCTAGTTTGAATTATTGTAGTGAAACCACTAGAAGGTAGAATGTATCAAAGTCCCTTGACCTTTGGCATAAGCATACCTATATACAGAAAAAAGCTCAGAAGATGTTGTCAAGGATGCAAGCCTTTCACGTACTTCATACCTTGAATCTCAGGTAACTTGCTGAACAATGTCATATACAATATTTTCCCAGGGACACACACCACACAATAGAGGAAAAACAGACAGACACACAGGAAATGTCACACAACTCTCCAGAGCTGATACTTAGTTTCTTTCTTACAAGCAGCTTCTCAGTGGCAGAGGGACTCATGCTTTCACTCTAGCTACTGGTGGAAGTTGCTGCTTTCTTTCATGCATGGTCCTACTGTTTTACTTGGTTTTTAGTAAGAAAATGGATAATCATGCACAAATTTGCATACAAGTCTGATTTTTATGCTCTTCCCCCCTCACTTAATAGTATTTTATTTTTTCTAATTACATGTAAAGATGGTTTTCAACATTCACTTTTGTAAAATTTTGAGTTTCAAATTTTCTCCCCCTTTTTCCCTTCCCCCCACCCCAAGACAGCGTGCAATCTGATATAGGCTATACATATACAACCATGTTAAACATATTTCCACATTAGTCATGTTGTGAAAGAAGAATCAGAACGAAAGGGGAAAACCACAAGAAAGAAAAAACAAATAAAAAAGATCTGCATTCAGACTCCATAGTTCTTTTTCTGGCTGTGGATAGCATTTTCCATCATGAGTCTTTTGGAATTGTCTTAGATCATTGTATTGCTGAGAAGATTTCATGCTCTTTAAGATGCAAAATTGGCACATCTCAAATGAAGTACATGATTTTAATCATTATTAAAATGATATTTATCTTAACTCTGATAATGCTGAAATGTAATCCTAAATCAAAGTGATTTTGTGAGATAATTTAACCTGTTGATTTGATTACATATTCTACTTTCTCTTTTGTGTTTGAAAGGAAACTACTTTTATTGATATATGCTCAGTAACCGAAGAATAACTTACTATCATGTCAACACTCCTCAGATTCCTTTAATCAGTTAATAAGTTAAAATGTTGACAATTTTGGTCTTTGTGGATGAGAGTCATGTTTCCAGTATGAGTCTTCAAAGCATGAGGGTACAGAAGAATCATACTGTGACAGAAAGAATGGATCTTCTAAGAAAGAAAGTACAATACTTGCCTTCCAGACCCCAATTTTCTCTCCACGTTTCTTGAGTATAAAATCTTCGGCTATATCTTTCATCTGCAACTAAACATAAATTAAACACAGAATCAATTCATTAATTATATATACTGTGGTGTCATAGGATGCAACAGGCTTTCTGAATCTTATCATCACACGATTTCTCACTCACCTACCAAGATGGATCTCAGTTTCTCGGCAGCCTCTTCTGGTTTCAAGATGCTACTGCTTACCTAGATCTCCCAAACCCAGGTCCCCTTTAGGGAGAAGACCCAGCAGTCTCTCTTTCTATGACCCTTCCTACCCCTGATAACATCATACCAAACCTGTAGGTATTTAAAAGGTATTTTCCATGAAAATTATAGAAGAACATAAAATAGGGAGAGGAGTAATAGTAAAGAAAGACAATAATAGCTAACGTTTATCTTAAAAGTTTTTTAAAGCTTACAAAGTGCTTTATACACATTATCTCATTTTACTCTCCCAACAATCCTGGGAGGAAGGTACTACAGGGCTTGTCTCTAGTGTTTCAGACGAGGACACTCGGGCTAAGAGAGAGCATGTCTTGCCTGTGGTCACTACCAGGAAGTATCAGAGGCAGGATCTGAACCTGAGTCCTCTTGACCAAATCCTGTCTTTTATCCACACTGCCTACACTATATCTATGGTATGGCAACATTCTTTCTGTTGCAGATTCTCATCCTCTCATTCTTGTCCACAATTTTTTTTTTTTTGGCCAGGCAATCAGTGTTAAGTGACCAGCCCAGGGTCACAGAGTTAGTGACATGTGTCTGAGGTCGGATTTGAACTCGGGTCCTCCTGACTCCAGGGCCGGTGCTTCTTGTCCACAACTTTCCTTCACAGAGAATCTATCAAATGAGCTCCTAGAGGTTTGTCTATGGTTCTTTTAATCCTCTGTGAAGATCATTGCAGCCCTCAGACAATGGGGCCATTATCCCTCACTAGTTACATGACAGAAGCTTCTACTGTTTTGGTAATTAAAGTGTGTAGTGATTTTTTTTTTTTTTTGCCACTTCTAACATGCAAAGCATAGGATCATTGATTTAGAGCTAGAAAGGATCTTACAAGTTATTGAGTTCAATCTTTTCATTTTACAGAGAGGGAAACTGAGACACTGAGATGAGTCTGAGTTGAGATTTGAACCAAGGTCTTCCTGATGCTGCCTTTCATGTGAAACAGACTTTTTACACCCTTCTCACACCTATTGTGCATCTTTTCCTTTGAATCTCTTGCGATTTGATTCTTCTGAAACTGTCATGTTCTATGAAGCAAAACCACAGAGAATCACTGGGAAGATGTTTTTTGTTTTGGAATGCAGAATAGTGTTGTTAAATGCATGTGCTTTAGTAGCAACAAGAAGCTAGATATCAATGAAAATACTGTATACTTTACTAAATTTAATGCCTGGCCTTCTCCTAGTCAGTTCTGGGCCCAGTTCACTGACCATCTGTTGTGTCCAAGACAGACATATAACTGAATTAACTCAACAGACTTCCCATTGAACTACATGTCATAATCTGTGTGATATGCATTCTTCATCACAATTTTTTTCCTAATGTGAACAACTAGGCTGATCTCTTTTAAGTGACGAGAGCTCATTCTGAAGGCCTTATAGTGTTCTGAGTTTTAAAGTCACAGGAACATCTGGAGAATCTCAGTGTTGACAAGGAATCCCTCTTTGATTGGAATTTGATGCAGCTTATTTTCAATTATAATTGCAAATACCTCTGCTAAACATGTAATTCCCACTTAATGCCTCTCTTGATGTTACTGCTCAACAGATTATTGAAGAAAGTTAACTCTGTGGTTGCAACTGTCATGGGATCTTGTGTGCATTTAGCATGGTGCCTGGCACATAGTAGGTACTTAAATGTCTTAACTTGTTGATTTAACAAATGTGTTAAAACTTGCTTGAAGAATGTCTTTAAAGGCTCATTTGCTGTACCAAATCAAATGACTTTTTGTTACAAAAAAGCAAGACATAGGAGGACCTTATATTCTATATATCTCAGTCAATAGTGTGACTATGAAGATGTAGTTTGCTGTAGAAAACTGCAAAAGCCTTGCCTGTTGTCCTTATATTTTCATCATCTATAAAAACCTTTCACACAAAATTTTTCTAGAGATAGGAGAGTAGGTCTATGAGTAGTGTGTGTGTATAATAGTGTGTGTGTATTTGTGTGTGTGTGTGTGTGTGTGTGCATAAATTTTTTATAGTCTTTTGGACCTTTCTCTTTTTTGAGAAACCTTGAAATTTATTAGCATTAAGTTTGTGTTCCCTCCAGCAAACTTCTGTATATTTGGTTAAGTCCAGTCACGTTGCTGAATTTACCACTTCCTCACATAGTACCCTGAATATTGAAGCGATGAAATCCAATAGGGTTCTTCCACTAACAACAACAACAATAACAATAGCTAACATTTACATAGTGCTTATTATGTACTAAGTACTATGCTAAGTGCTTTACAATTATTATCTCATTTGAACCTCACAACCCTGGGAGACAAGTGCTATTATTATCCCTATGTTTCAGATGAGGAAATTGAGGCAAACAGAGGTGAACTGACTTGCCCAGGGTCACACAGCTAGTAGGTGTCTGAGGCTGGATTGGAACTCAGAACTTCCTGACTCCAGGCCCAATGTTGAAGCAACCTACCTGCCCCCCATCATCACTGAGGAGAATGGAGAACCCATAAAAAAAATGCTTGCAGACCTGTTCCATTTCATATCTCTTTGTTGTGCTCCTTCTAGTTAACGTACAAATGCTCTTGAGAAATTCTGACTTACGAGGTTCTACAAAGTCTCATTTTCTTCTCAGTTGCTATTTACTATTTTGTGAGCCAAAATTGCTTGTACTCTTTCATCCTCCTCCTCCATGATGTCTTGCAAATGAGTTGGTGTTCTAAATTAGTGTTTTCTTGTCTACCAGTTTTCTGTTCTTAGAAAGGAGATCAAATGCGTCCTGGCAGGGGTGGTTTTGGGTTCTTGCAGCATTTCTTAAACAGTTTAAGAAGTGCTGAAGGGGTCCCCGAGTGGAAAAAGTTTAAGAAGCCCTGCTTCAGTTTAAGGTCTGCATCATGGTGATGCCTTCTGTAAGAATTTACAAGTGTTGTGTTCTTTATTTCTGATCATTTTCCAATTTGAGGAGTTTGTTTAAACAGGCTTGTTTGGAATGGCTATAACGGTGTGCCATTTCTTCTTCTCACCTTTTAAAAAAATTTTTTTGGTAATGATTGTGATCTTTGATCTAACCAGTCAACAATTCAATCATGTACAGACAACTGGATCTGAATTAATTCAGTAATTTTCTGTTTTGTGGAGATATTATCTATTTCATCTCTTGTGATGTTCCTTGGTACTTGCCACATCCAATGCTTTCCTTTCACTTCTTTTTTCTTAAAAAGCTTTGCAGGTATGAAGCTTCTTAGTATTCTATAAGCCTTTGGTCTTTTTTCGTATCTTGACTTCAAATCATAATTTTCAACCTTCTTCCCTGTGCCCTGATTTTCATTGTCACTGAATGTGAAGGTATATATGATGACTTTGTTTAGAATCTCAACTTACCATTAGAATTTCTCTACGTCTTTATACTCTACAAGATAATAACAATTAACATTTGCACAATGTTTTAAGGTTTACAAAATGCTTTACATATATTATCTCATTTGACTCTCCCAACAACCCTGTGCGGTAATTGCTACTATTATGCCCATTTCACAGATGAGGAAACTGAGAGGTTAGGTTACTTGCCAAGGCCATACAGATATTAAATGTTGCAACAGGATTTAAACTCAGGTTTTCCTGACTCCAAGTCTAGTACTGTATCTGCTACTTGTACCCACTGCCTCAAGTGCAAGTACTTTGTAAACCTTTAAAGTATTTTGTAAATCAAGTTATCATCATTACTATGCCACAATTATCTTTACTTTCATCTGTTTGGTGCAAGTACCTTGTAAACCTTTAAGTGCGTATGTAAGTGCGAGTTGTCATCATCACTATGTTGCAGTTATCTCTACTTTTGTATCTTTGCTAATGCTCCCAAGTACTATAAGGAAAGATGATGTGTCAGAGTTCATTGCTGGGACTAAAAGAATTTCATTAAAAATTAGGTGAGACAATCTTGGTTGAAAGCAAAAGGCCATTTTATTTGGTAGGTTTTAGTGAAGGTCCCAAAGAAAAGGTCACGTGGCTTAGCTGGAGACAACCCAAAAGAGTGGTGGACAAGGAGAAGGAGGGAAGGGTACCAGGGTAGATCACTTGCCCCATTTTTACACTGGGGCCAGGACCAACACCTCCAAACTAAGGTAGTCCATTGAACTCCCTCACAATGAAAAAAAATTGAGTGCTTAAAGATGGGGAGGGAAAGGGATACAACCAGGGATGTCATTAGGGAGCACTGGGTATGATGGTCTTTAGGACATTGCAGGAAGAGAAGTCTTATTTAGGACCAATGGGTCCATGTTCCAGGGCATCTCAGATAGCTTCAAGATCAGGGCTAGAGTGATGACTGATCCTGGAAAAGAAATATGGTGTTTTTATAGGGAGGCTTCCTGCTTAGGAAGGCTAGATTTGATTGCTCTCCCTGAGGTCACAGGCAATCAACCACCAAACAGAATTGCTAGCCTAGAATGTTCCAAGATTTTGGTGTGCAGAGGGGGTAGAGGGGTATTGTTCCAGAGAAACAGCAAAGAAGAACAGAGGGGGTGTACCAGGCAGGTAGAGGAGGTGTTGTTAAGGAACAGACAACCTGAGAAACCAAGGCTTTTCTGCAGCAGCACACCAAGTGGGCCATAAAACGATGTTCCTTGTTGCTTTTGGGCACATAATGAAACCAACTTAATATAGCTTCTTGATGAGAACCAGCTTTCCAGTTCACTGTAACTTGTTTGTGTCTTCTTCAATTATATTAAAAACTGTCAACATGGATTTGTTTCAGTTCCTCCAATAATTTATTAACTCATTTTTTTGTTGGTTAAAGATAAATCAGTAACTGTATCAACAGTTAATGTTTATAAATAGTTTAAGAAAGATTTGATTCTTAAAATCTTCTACCCCCATTTTTCATTACTTTCACTATGGGGATAGGCATGTGGCCTCAGGATTTTTGCGTATTTTTGTCCATTTCATAGATTGCCATGGCCAAGAATTCAACATGTAGGGGCCTTCTTTCTCCATACTGAACTGCTCCTTGAATAGTAGCTGTAACCATACATTAAGCTTGGTGCAAACTATCAGAGTCTGAACAGCCTTCAAGAACTCAAGGTAATGTCAATACCAGAATGAGACACTCAAGGAGAACTTTTATGGAGAACAGTACTTAGGAGATCACACAGTAACAGATGAAAAAATGTTAGGCTCATAATTTCCAATGTCTCTTACAGTTTAATCATGGTTTTTTACTACCTCTTGGACATCTGCCCATCGGCTTCCTGTTGAAATTCTTTAGTGTGCTCTGGAGCCTGACATTACCTCAGGTCTACCTCTTTGCTGATGGAACTGCTTGTCCAGAGTTGTCCTCTATATTCTTTTGGTATCCATATTTAGTTCCCCGGCTGGGAGTCTTGCCTAAGGCAGACTCTTCCTTCCCAATTGCCTCTCAACTTGGTCATCTTAGGTCACTTCATCCCTCAATCCACTAGTAAAAGCTCAGGAGAGCATGTACTGTGTTCCTCCCCAACTGCCTGGTTTGGATCCCAAAGATTCCTCTCCCCAGATTTCAGGATAGGGAGCCTCCTTCACCCTGTTGAGGAGGTCTGTATGTTCTGTATGTACGTGGGGTCACAACCCACAGTTAAAGAAGTGCTGAAGGGGTCACAGGTGAAAAAGTTTGAGAAGCCCTGGACATGATGATAAAGCCACCGGTCAAGTTATAAGATTGGTCATTCCTAAAAAAGACTATTCAAACTGATTATTTGACATCAGGAATACACATAAAAAGTTAATAACTTTTCAATCTTCAATTAGTCATACAGACACAACTGAGCACTGATTTAACTAGGGTTACCCAGAAGACAGATAGAGGCCTACAATTCAAACTTGATAGCTTCCTTCCTCATAATTTAGAATTATGTCTTAACCAAACAATTTCAATCCTTATATGTGTTGGTTGGTCCAAAAATTATTATTTTTATTTATGTAATAAGTATTAATAAAATATTTAATGGCTAACATTGATATAGTCAATGTTCTTTAATATTTACAGAGCATATTATTTATGCCCATTATTTCATTTGATCCTCTCAACAACTTTGTGAGATAAGATATGTAGTGAGTATTATTATTTCCATTTTACAGTGAAGAAACTGAACCTTAAAGAGGTAAAATTACTGCACAGTCAAATGACTAATAAGTGGCAGAGCTGGGATTCAAACCCATGTCCTCTGACTGCTAAGCTGGCAGTTTCTTCCACATAACAGGCAAGACACAGCAAATGTCCAAACTGTTTGCTGTCAGTGTAAAAACAGTGATTGCTAATAGGGTAGAGTATTTCTAGAGCAGGGGTGGGGAACCTACATCCTCGACACCACATGTGGCCCTCTTGGTCCTCAAGTGTGGCCCTTAGGATTCAGTCAAAGGGCAACCATGCTGGAGGACATAGAGGGCCACATGTGGCCTTGAGGCCACAGGTTCCCCACCCCTGTTCTAAACTATCATTGTTATTTATGTAATGAGTCACACAAAAATCACTTCAGTAAATATGGTGGAGAAATTAAGTAAATAGTACTAGAAATTGCTTAGAGCAGTGGTGTCAAAAATCAAATAGAAATAGAGGCCACTAATACATACATAAATATCACTGAGGGCTGCATATTGACTTAGTTTTAAAAATATATGATCTATATTTTGTTGTATTTTCATTTATTTTGTTAAACATTTCCCAACTAGGTTCTAATTTTGTTCAGTCTACATTTAGGGGGGCTGATGTAGGGATGTGTGTTTGACACCTTTGGGTTAGAGGCATTAAGATAGGCTAGGTAGTTAGAGGAATAATTTCATCTTTGGATTGTGAAATGAAACAGTCAGAAAGAAGACAACATCATTACTGCCAAGCCTAGCTGTTCAGCACAAATTCCTTTTTTAACATGAGACAGCTTTATGGCTTGGCAATTTCAAATTCTAACTTCCCTTCTCTGCTTTATTTGATTTCCTTAATTAACTCAGAAGACTAGCAGCATTTCCCGGTAATTTAGCAACAAAATGTTTGGTCAGTTCAGTGAAAAGGATGGTACTTTGAAATTCCTACCAGTTAATACCAAGTATGATGCAGCTAGGTGGCAAAGTGGATAGAGTACCAGACCTGAAGTCAGAAAGACCTGGATTCAAAATCTGGCCTCAGACACTAACTAGCTGTGTGACCCTGGACAAGTCACTTAACCCTGTTTGCCTCAATTTCCTCATCTGTAAAATGAGCTGGAGAAGGAAATGACGACCACTGCAGTATCTTTGCCAACAAAACCCCAAACGGGGTCACAGAGAGTCAGACATGACTGAAACAACTCAACAACAACAGAAAAAGATGATATTCATCATCTAAATACAGTCATCACTGCATCTAAGATTGTGTCTCCTCTCTTACCTTTATTTTTTGACGCGCTGAATACTTGTCACTTGATAGGAACAAGGGTAACCACATGTTTTCTAGCCTCCTTCGGACATATTTTTGAATTTCCAGCAGAACAGGTGATGCCAGCTGCTCGTGAAGAATCATTCCCCAGCCACCACCTAACTGCATTATCTTTAAAAAAAAAAAAAAAGAAAGAAAACATCAATAAGGAAATATTTACTGTGGTTGAAAGGTATTTCTCATAGTCTGTGAATAGAAATCAGTCTCGGAGTTTGTAACTTTTTTTTCCTATCCCACGAAAAATTCAGTGAATGTTAATGTATGCTTATGCTAGTTTACTTTCCCAACATGGGACCGAGAAAAGGATTTACTCAGCAGGAATACTGGCCTTCTATAGGCATCTTATTTATATTTATGAAATGTGACATATTTGCTAGATGTCCTCAGCATGAGTTTTAAAAAGTCTTTAAAGCAGCACAGAATAGGGCAAACAAATATCACTGGAACGTGAGTCGTTTGATTACAAACCTGTTCCCAGTATTACAGCATTGAAAAGGTTGGTATTTCTCTTTTTTTTTTCCTTTGGGGGGGGAAGGGAACACCATCTCCCATTGGCTATTAATGTGTACACTGACATTTCTGAAAGTAACTGTGGAAGGAAACAAAATTATTGGCCTCTATTGTTAATTTTCAGGTTCTGTGCCACGATTATAGTGATTGCTAAATTCACCATCTTGATTAGACCAGTGTACCAGAACTCTCAATTGAAGGAGTTTCAGAAGCAGATCATAATGGCATCTTCTGACCTGTGGCTAATGAAGGAGGAGATGATTTAAGTAATTAGCAACGGTGCTGAGATGGTGTCAGTAGTGAGTGGAATTTGACAGCCAGGGCTAAGTATCAAGTCCAAAGGTGGCTAAATGTAAACATTTGCAATCTTAAAAACTAAGGATCACTGAGAGATAATGTCATATAATGCAATTAGCAGATCTTTTTGGAAAACATCATGACTTAGCATGCTTATACTTTGGAATCTTCTTAACTTTAACTCTGCATATCTCCACCCTGGGTGGGGGGACAGAAATGGGGATGGGGAAAAATTTCGTTAGAAAAAATTAAAAATAAAACAACTTGACAGTGTCAGTTTTTGAAATCATTTCCCCAAATCAATGTGAATTAAAATAATCCTATAGTATTCATATTTGTATCACTTCTATTATTAAGGCCAATAATACTTCCTTGCTTCTACTTCTATCCACCACTCTAAATAATGGCTACTGTCTAATTCCTTACACCTATCAGTAAAGACCTTCACATTTGTGACAATTTTCTCTCTCTGAATGCTTCAAGTGTAGCATGTTATATGGGTGAGGCTCTTGATTCTTATAGGATCTTGGAAGAGAATGATTCCATCATATAAAAAAATTCCCTTCAGCTGGTCAAGAATTAAAGAGGTTAAATTAAAGAGGTTAATAGTGTGATTCATTTAACCCTGTTATTATGAAATTAACTACATAGGACCTGTAAACACAGCTACAAGATAAGGAAGGAAAGTGAAGTAAATATTGGGGTAGGGATGTGCTAATAAATATCTAATAATCATCTCTCAAAAATGTACATATGACACAATTTTAAGCTTAATCTGAATCATTAATATTTTTTAAGTCTAGATAATCAATAAAACAATAAATCAAGCCTTGATTTACATCTTGCTTATTTCCAAGATGTACATGCTCATATGGAAAATTTAACAATCAGTTGCTGGTTGGAGCTGGCTCCAGAACACTCCTGCATAGGAGCGACAGCCTGAGAAAGCACTGAGGCATGGAAGGACTGGAGGTTGAAATGAAGAGTACAAAGACAAAAATAAAATTATCCTTGTCAAAGCAATTGCACAGGAGAAATGGCATGAAAGATGTATGCTATCCTTACTAGAGAAATATTGACTGGAAAAGGAGGTGAGCCAGCTTTGTAACGAAAGAGAGGGATAAGTGAAAAAGCATTTGTTTGCTCAGTTCACTGGTATTCACATGGTGTCAGCGAAGAAAATGTCTCCTAATGTTGGGAGGAGCTGTCGTGTGGGATTTATAGGATGCATGCACAGGGACAAGAAGAGGACAGGATGAGAAAACTTAGATCAGGGGTGAGGAACCTGCAGCCTCGAGGTCACATGTAACCTAGGTCCTCAAGTGCAGCCTTTTGAATGAGTCCAAGTTTTACAGAACAAATCCTCTCATTAGGGGGATTTGTTCTGTGAAGTTTGGATTCAGTCAAAGGGCTGCACATGAGGACCTAGAGGGTCACGTATGGCCTTGAGGCCGCAGGTTCCTCACCCCTGGCTTAAATGGTTTCAAAGGGCATTGGCATCATTTGAGAAAGGACTCAACAATTTAATCACAGGTCCATCAAAGACTGGTACATCAGGTGAATGCTGGAGACCCAACATTCGTTTAGATTTCAGCAAAACATTGGACAAAACATCTCACTCTGTTTGTGGATAAGATGGATAAATAAATAGAATAAATGCTTGTTGAATTTAATTGAAATAGAGACATATGGGTTAGATCAGAGGTGTCAGATTGACAGCCCACAGTGCCTGGCTGTAGAATTCCCAATTACAGCCTGAACCAGGTTAAAATGTAATTGGGAAATATTTAATAAATAAATAAAGATACAATACAACATAGATAATGTTAACTTGTGGTTTTCTAAGTCAGTATGCTGCCTGCTGGGATCTGTTTCTATTTAAGTTTGACACAACTAGGTTGGATTTAGAATTACATGAGTGACTGAACTTAAAATCAGTCACTAATTTGATTCATGTCACCTTGGAGAGAGCTTTCTAGTAGTGTGTCCCATTTGCAACCTATGTTATTAATCAGGGAAAAACTTCCAAGTCACAAGAGAAATAACTATACTGGAGAAATATTGCAGGGTCCAAGACATGATCCAAAAGAACATAACAGAATATAATAAAGATAATTTTGATTATATCAAATGAAGAAGCTTTTGCATGTACCAAGTGATGTAACTAGGAGAAGAAGAAAAGATTTGGATTGGGGGAGAAATCACACAGGTAGTCCTAAGCAAGTCCTAATTCAAATTCTGGTCCTGTGACTCCAAGTTTATCATTCTTGACATTGTCACCCTGCTTCTTAATCTAAGAAGTTAAAGCTAAGTTCCTTATACAAAGTAGTTATATGATTGATGTAAATGTTTTTTAATGGATAATGATTTGAATTGTTTTTTTAGTTATATTTTCTCCTGAAGTAATCAATGTATATTTTAATTCTGTGCTTGGAACATTTAGACTCCTGTTTGCAAAGATGAACCTGTGTGAACATGAGTTGAACAGTATTCCTAAAGACCAAAGACCCTAAGTTCACCAGATCCTTAGAGTATGCATAAGAGAAACACATATTCTTTAAAAATATGGTAAAATTGAGGTTATTGAAAGAGTGCTAAGCCAGGATGATACTTTCCAAAAAAGTACTGAAATTGCAATGATGAGTCACGGAACATAGCTTTGGGGTCAGAAAATTTAGGGAAAAGGATTTTCAGTGACCTGGAATGTCCCGAGAAACACCAAATAAAAGTGGAATGGAGGTCAAGCTTACTAGTTGACTCTGTCAGTGGTTTCCTATCCTTTGAAAAATGCAGGTAACCCCCAAAGCCCAAGGCAAATGCCCCTTGTCATAGTCTAACCCTGTACGAAATTTTACTTTCTTCTATAATGACAATGCTCCTTTAAAAAATATCTTTTTTTTTTAAAAAAAAAAGGAATGGAGGGAACTTAATTATGCAAGATAACTAAAAAGCCATAAGAAATAAACTATATCAGAAATGTCTATCAAGCAAATAAGAAAAGTAAGCATATTACAGAAAATCTCAGTCTTTGTGTCCAAGTATGAATAAAAATTTAGCTTGGAGACTTCTGTTTTGAAATACTGATACCTCATCTTGTTGCTCTTTTGTAGCTGGACTATTGGGTCCAAAGAAGTATTTTTTATTAAGGTATTTGTTTTTAATATCTATAGATTTTGCCTCTCTTTGCTTTTTATCTTGGTGAAGTATTCTTCTGAACTGCTCAATGTCGGTCCAGCACATGAGGTCCATACTATAAAAGGACATATAAAACACAAGTGAATGCCTGAAGAAAGCATTTATTAAGTGCTTACCACTTATTGCATTTCTGCTGAACAAGTCATTGTTTTGAAAGCATTTAGAAGGCAGATGTCCATGACTAACTAACATAATTTATGCAAACAATGGGGTCGAATTTGTTAAATCTGATTGCTAGCTAGAAGGTTAGTGTCAATGACTATATGCCATACTCTCGCTTACTTTAGCTTAAAGTAGTTACCTCGGTAACTATTTTGCAAATATATGACAATGACAAAAACCTGGAAGCTATAATACTATTATACTAGAAAAGACATTCAAAGTACTTTTACAAAGCTCAATAATGACATCTTCACTGATGATGTAATGATTCAAATCAATCCAATATAAAACTAATTGTTAACTCATTAACAATTATTAACTTATTAATATGATATTAATGGTATTGTTGCTATCATTAGCTTATTAATGCTATATCAATAATGTTATCAATATGAATTTATCAGTAAAAATCCACTAATGATAAATTATCAATAAACAATAATTTTTTTTTACTGGGCCATATAAATATAATACAAACATTACATTTCTGTAATACTTTAAGAGTTGTAAACAATAAAACAATGCATGTTATGTTTCACCCATGTGCTAATTAATTAATGACAATTCTTGCTAGAAAGAAGGGAAAATTCCGCCATAACAAAAAGAACAGTTTAATCAAGTATATGCATAAGAATGAGCATCAGGAACTATCACTGACTACTAGAGTCAAATTCTACACTCAGAAGTCATCTTCTACTAAACATGCATGGACTCATCAGCAAGAAATTATGGCTGAGTCTACACTAAACAATTATAAAGGAAGTTCTCAGTTTTTGTGCAAAACTTTAATATTTGTTTTTGTTTGTATTCAGTTGTACACACAAATGTTGCAACACATGTATGAAACATGCCTCATTGCATGGGAAATTAAAATAATTTTAATTATTTTTTAAAATTTTAATTCTGTAAGAAAAAATGTTATATGATTGAAATCTTAGAATAGGTACACTGTTGTGACCAGGTAACCTTGTCTTCCCAGAAACAACAATATCATACCTACACAACAGAGCAGAACAGAAGGAAAACACAGAAAGGAGACAGAATCATTGTTTTAAAAGTAGTCAATGCCCAATAATTTAATTATTGTATTTTTGCTTAAAGCAGATTTTAAACAATTTATCTTCTTTTTTTAAAAAAAAAGTTAAACCCAAATCTGAAACTTAAAAGGTATATAGAGTCATTTCTAAAAGTTATGTTCAGCAGTTCTTAGGAACTTAGCATCATACTTCTGGTTTTGGACAAAGGCAAATTTCAGAATCAAAGGATTACTGAAATATATTCAATTAGAAGCAGATTAGAAAAGAACGTTGGGCCATTTTGCATCACAAGTTAAATAAATTTATAAATGGTAAATATTACATACCTAGCAGAATGAGATGCAAGAAACTGGCGGAAATGTTCAAACTCCAGCTTGTTATTAACCAGATAATTAAAGTTAAGATGTCTAAATTGCTCAGGAACTTTATTCCAAAGTTGTGTTTCCTTAGGAATATATGGTACTGGTAAATCAGGTACAGCTTCCTAATGAAATATGAAGAGGTTGTTGTGAGATGAATAGGGACGTTTTCTACTAAATGTCAAGCATTTTTACAAATATTTATCTCAGAGCACAAATATGTTTTCCCATTTTCATGACCAATCAATATGTTGATCAACAAGCAATTACTTAATGCTTTTGATGTGTCAGGCCTAGTGCTAGGAGTTAAGGATTACAACAAATGCAAAAAAATGAAACAATCTCTCCTCTCAAGGATAATGGAGAAAAAGAGTCAAAAGTTAATTATTAGCTCAGAGCAAGTCAGTAGTAAAACTGAGTAGTCAATCCAGCAGGCAGGACAAACTCCGAGTGTCTTTGGAGAATATTTTTTCATTATGACAAGATCATAGCACAGAACTTCAAATAACAATTTGTGGTTGAATATACAGGAGCGTGGGTACAGACAAAGTTTTCTGGAAGACTGCTTCCCCTTGAACTCCTCCCACGACTTGACTTAAAGAAAAATCTAACACCATGATTAAAAAAAAACCACAAAACAAAACCAAGCACAGACTAAGTTTTAAATCCAGCTTTCCCTTAGTAGAGAGAATAATTATGAGAGAAATGCTTTAAATGTTGATTTGAAGGTTGAAACATGCCTCTATGATGCTGCTGTTATAGTTCTATGTAATATTTTCCAACACGTGAATTAACATGATTAATTAGGGCAGCGAGGCAAGTCTTGGAGTTAGGAAGAACTGAGTTAAAATCCTTCTCACCCTGAGGTTCCTCATCTGTAAAATGAAGGTTTTAAAAGCACCTACCTCACAGGGCTATTGTGAGGCTGAAACAAGATAACCTAGGTAGAGCACTTTGCATATTTAAAGAGCTATATGAATGTTGGCTCTTATTATGTAATGTTTGAAATCCGGGGCTTATGTATGAAGATGACTATTGTGAAGGATGCAATTTTATAAAGCACACGAATAAATAACAAAATAATAAACAAAAATACTCAATACATTCATCTTTTTTTCCTCCCAGACTCTGTCAATTCTTTGTCACTTTTAAATTCCTTATTATTTTTGTCAACCAAATGCTTCCCTTCCCATATGGGAGAATTCTAAGCTCTTTCCTGAGACTAAAATAGGTAGAAAATGTGGCTGCTCTAAAGACTGAACAACAGCATTAAAACAAACCCATTTCTGGATAAAAATCTCAGCTGTCTGTCTGGTCCCTCCCAGGGAAGATGAGCTGTGGAGACACCTAGAACAGATCATCTATTTAATTTTCCTGCTGTGGTAGTAAATATGTCCACAAAATGTTAATAGTTATCAATAGCTGTGTGACTGGTAAATGAAGAGCAGTAAAGCAAAAATCCATTGCTCTTGTTTTAGCAAAGCTTGCTTTCAGTTTCTTTTCTGGATATACAAAGTGCTAGCTCTTCAGGAGAAAAAAGTCCGTTTGTATAAGGAAGGACTTATCTTACCTCTTCTTTCTTGGGAGCAGTCTCTTTGTGCATAGCCTGTAGCTTTCTAAAGTACAAGGAGTCCAGCTGTCGATCTTCTTTCACCAGCTCCACCTAATGAAAATAATGTTGTTCTTATGTCATTGATAGATTACACATTATCCAGGGTGTCCCAAAAGTCATTATTTCAGAGATGAAAGTGACACATATGAATGCCAGCATTAACACGTAAATCAGCTCCTGCTTCAAACTATCACTTCCCAATGACCAATGCCAGCTCCAATCGAACCTTCCCTAGTAACAAAGAAGTAGAATTACTAGCAAAACAAACCGACATATCGGTCAGTTCTAACAAGCCTCTTCCCATTCCTCTATTCCTCTATTTGTGCAGTTACTTATGTTTGCAACCTCAGCATTTTCCTTCAGTCCTTGTTCTCTCTGACAGTGCATTAACCAAGCTACCTAGTGCTCAACTCTCATCTGTGGCTCCAAGCAACTGTAGTTTTGTGTAGCATCCACAACCCTGTAAAACCACCTCAACAGATTGACTAACCTAGGTTGAGGGTAACCCCGGGCCTCAAACCTGTTGGTGACTTAGAGTGGTGTCTACCCCAAGCATATGAAGACTTCCACTGTTGGAATGGGTAGATGAAGACAATTTGTTCCAATGGCCATGAAAATGGCTGAAACAGGCACTACGGAGTGCTTAGAGCTTGGTCAGTCATTAAAGATGCCAAGGTCATCTACTGCATCCTAGGCCTTCTCCAGTCATCCTGACTTTTGTCTTGCCACTGCACTTGGATGACTCAGGAAGAGAGAATGAGGCTGACAACTTTGAGCAATTCTGCCTCACTTAAATCCAATCCCAAACATTAATCAAGACATCACCCTGTGATGTCATTGGTCCTCTTTGAAAAGAAAGGACAAAAAACATTAACTAATCATTTGGTAAATCTTGCCATTTCTATTTCTCCACATCTTTTATTTCCAACCTCTTCTCACCCAGTCACCAAGTTAGTTTAGGCTTTCATCACCTCTTGCATAGACTTTTTTAAATTAAATTTTATTTTTTTCAATGAACAAAAATCTGATTTCTCTCCCACCTGCCTCCCCCCACATTGGAAAAAGAAAGAAAAACAAAACTCTTGTAAATTTTCAGTTTTGTTGGCACGTAATTAGTCTTTTTCTGACAATTAGTAGTTCTGACAATTTCCTTATTTCTTCTTTAACTATTGCAAAATAACTTTTTTCAACTCTGATGTTGGCAATCTGTGCTCCCTCTCTTGTTCTCTCTCTTACTCTCTTTCCTCTTTCACTCTTTCACCATCTCTCCTCTCTCTCTCTCATTTATCTATTTTATTGATATTTTAAAAATATCTATATTAGCTAGGTGGCACAGTAGATTAAGTTCTGAGCCTGGAGTCAGGAAGTCCTAAGTTCAAATCCAACCTCAGACACTTGTGTGAACCTGAGCAAGTTACTTAACTGCTGTGTGCATCAATTCCATAATCTCTAAAATGGGGATAATAATAGCACCTATCTCCCAAGGTCATTGTAAGGATCAAATAAGATAATAATTGCAAAGCATATAGTAAGGACTATATAAATGTTAGCAATTATTATTATTATGATGATGATTAGGTATTTATAATTTCAGTAGTTTGTTTTAATTTGTTCATCTTTTCTTTGATTTTCTGAAGTACTACATATTTTTATTGGGAGTTTTAATTGTTGAATTTCTTTTATTTAGCTGCATGCTCAATCCACTAATCTCTTCTTTTGTTTATGTAAATATTGACGATATCAATTTTTGTCATAAATTTTGGTATGCTACCTCATTTTTATCAGTATATTCCCTATAGTTATTTATTGTTTTTATGCTTTGTTCTTTGACCTTATTTTTTAGGACCATTATGTAATCTTCTCTTGTCTTAAAAAAAATCTTTCTTCAAATTTCTCTTATTAATTATACTTTTTATTGCACTGTCTGATAAGAATGTATTTAATATTACTGCTTTTCTGCATTTGTTTGAGTACTTTATGCTCTAGGACAAAGTTAACTTCTGCAAAAGTGCCATGCAGAACTGAAAAAAAAATGTGTTCTTTACAATTCACATTCAGTAATTGCCAATCCATAATTTCTTACTTTTTAAAATAATTTGACTTGTATGAATCTGAAAGGAGTATGCTAAAGTCACAGACTTTACATTAATTTGAACTTTGATTAGCTTTTCCTTTAAGTACTCATATAATATGCCATGCAATGCACTGATAAATATTAATGTTAAATGGAACTGGGTTATTAGCCATTGGTGGTTAACACTGGAGGGACCACTCTGGAATGGGGTTTGAGCTGATAGCACTAGAGAAAGACACTTCCAACCTCTTACAGGTATTCTTAGTACTAGTAAGCGGGAACTATGGCTAACCTTGTTCTGGGAGAGTGAGGCCATAGTATTGCTAAATGTGGGACCTTGTCTGGAATAAAATTGGACCCTTTTCTTTTGTAGGGACCAATGGAGAAATTAGAACGCATTACTAAGAAATGGCTGCTGAACATCCAGTAGAAGGACACTTACCACAAACAGTCACCAGACCTAGGTGTCACAGCAGATGGAGTACTGTATCTAGAGTTGGGAAGACCTGACGCCCCCTTAATTCTTGTGTTTTCCCTTTGTTAATTATTTCCTATTTGTCCTGCATATAGTATATAATTCTGCTTCTTGGCTCTGGGCATTTTCTCTGGCTGTCACCCAGTTTTAGAATACACTCTCTCTTCTGTTTTGCCTAATGACATCCCTGACTTCCCGTAAGTCCCCAACTAAAGTCCTAATTTTCTTACCTACCCTTAAATCACTGAATGGGTGTTGCCTCAGACAAACAGATCTGGGAAAGACCTTAGCTTAAAAAGGCCCCAAGGTCTTCCAATGCATCTGGGGTCATCTCCAGTCATCCTGACCTATGTCTTGCCACCGGACTCAGATGACCCTAGAGGAGAGAGTGAGGCTGATGATTTTACACAGCTCTGCCTCACTTAAATTCAATTCACTTGCAAGTCAAGACAACACTCTCCTAATGTCATTGGTCCTCTACAAGAATGAAGGACAAACAACCACAAACAACCCTGAAGTCCTACCTTCTACCTGAAGCCTTTACCAACTTCTCTTAATTCTAGGGCTTTCCCTCCATTAATTATTTCCTATTTATCCTATATATATCTTGTTTGTATATATTTATTTGCTTGTTTCCTCCCCCATTAGATTATGAACTCCTTGAGAATAGGGACTTCTTTGTATGCCCAGTTCTTAATACATGCTTACTGACTGACTGACTAGTCCAGTGCTCCACCCACAGTGTAGTAATGTGCCTGTTTGTCTTTTTCCTTTTTTGCCACCTTGAACAATCTGATGTGAGGTAGAACCTCAGAGTTGATTTAATATGCATTTCTAAAGGTAGAAAGCAGCTAGGTTGCACAGTGAATAAAATGCTGGCCCTGGAGGCAGGAAGACTAATCTTTGTGAGTTCAAATCCAGCCTCAGATACTTACTATCTGTGTGATTCTGGGAAAGTCATTTATCCCTGTTTGCCTCAGTTTCCTCATCTGTAAAATGAGCTGGAGAAGGAAATGGCAAACAAGGGCAGTATCTTTGCCAAGGGAACTCCAGAATGGGGTTTTGCACAGAGTCAATTTGCTGATATTATTGTTTCAATTTTTAGTTGACTGTTTTGGATTCTTCTAAGTAAACTAGCACATCCTCTGCAAAAAGCAATCATTTTGTTTCCTCTTCTGCTTATTTCCTCTATTTCTTTTTTTTATTATTATTGCTATAGTTAGTATTTTAGCACTATATTAAATAGTATTGGGAATAATGGATGCTTTGCTATACTCTTGATATTACTAGAAAGACCTTTAGTTTACTCCTCTTTCATACCATGCTGTCTATTGGTTTTAAATAGATACTACTTGCCACATTAAGAAAAAAGTCCACGTATTCCTGTTTTCTAGTATTACATCTTGTCAAAATTGCCGTTTCTCCATCTATTGACATAATAATATGATTTTTGGTATTCCTCTAATTAACATGGTCTATTAGGTTTATAGTTTTCCCAATTTTGAACCAACCTTGAATTCCAGGCGTAAATCCAGTCTGGTCATTGTGTATTGATATTTTTGATACGTTGCTATAGCCCTTTTGCTAATATTTTATTTTTAAAATATATATTGATGTTTATTAGGGATATTGACCTATAGTTTTCTTCCTTTATTTTGACTTTCCCTGGTTTAGGTATCAAGACAATATTTTGTATCATAAAAAGAATTCCTTCATAGGATTCCTTCTTTTCATTTTTTTTTGCAAACAGTTTATGTAATATTGGAATTATTCTTTGAATGTTTGATAGAATTCACTTGTAAACCTATACAGCACAGGATTTTTTCTTTGAGAGTTCATTTATGGCTTGTTCAATCTCTTTTTCCTGAGGTTGGGTTGTTTGACTTCTTTATTTCTTGTTTCTGAGGCAATACTTTTTCCATTGTATCATGATGCCTCAGTAATACATCACTATTTTAGAAATTTCTAGGTATACATGGGGAAAAAATGGAAAAACAAAGAAGCATCCCACCTGAACTAAAATCATGACACTTTCTGTTAACCCCTAAAAGAACACAATATATAAGGCACATTCCTTAGTTTAACAGAAAACATCTATTAGTGGTTTTAATTTACAATTCAAAATAGATACTAAAATGTACTAACTCCATCCATCAATAATAATAAGTTTAAATACTGATTCAAAATAACCTTTTTATGATAAAAGAGGTCAGTTAATTAGCTAACATTTATTGTTTCTTAAGTGCCAGACACTATGCTAAGCATTGGGGATACAAAGAAAGACAAAAGATAGTTTCTGATGTCAAGGAGCTCACAGTTTAAGGTGGGAGGCAACATGCAAACAGGTATATACAAATAAGATCTATACCAACATAAATTGAAGACAATCTCAGAAGGAAAGCCATATACTTAAGAGATAAAACATGTATCAAAATCAAGTATTCTGACTTAATAAAAATCTAGCTGTGCTTTAAAATGATAGCATGGCAATCATAGGCTCTACTTTTCATAGTACATGTGAAAAATGGATATTTTTGATGGGTGCAATGTTTATTATAACTCATGTAACATAAAATTAAATGAGATTAATCAATTAATCCACACAGGATATTACTTTGAAACAGTGAGAAGAGACAAGCTCAGTGCATAACAGCTTACTTGTCTATAGGAAACCAAAACTCAGATCTCTATCTTTTGATGGTGTTTATAAAGAAAATAGAAAATAGCTCAGAATTAAATATTTTGTTGTGACACAAGCTGTATGATGACCAATGTAGAAACAATATGGGGGGGTAAAATTTGGTAAATACTTTCCCCTGCTATCACCAATACCCCCCACTCTAATTTTGAGCAATGGCCAAATCTTGACTTGAAGTCCCAACACATGTATGAATCAAATGTACTGCTCCAAGAGACACTTTTCAGCTATTTTTCTACTGAAATGCTAACCACACTGCTTATTATCAATTTTGCAATAAACAAGTAAAAAGGAAATCCCCAAGACAGCCCAAACAAAAGTAAAGAGTGTCACCTGTCCATAATTGTTTTGATCTGATTTCACCATCTGTAGCCAGGGTTCAAGAAGGAGGAGAAGGACGTATTCTTCTGCTGCATCAAAAAGATCTTCAAATGGTGGATCTATTTTCATGTAAATCTCTTTTTTCTTTTTCTGCTCTAATCCAATATCAAGGGTAGCCGAAGGACAGACATACATGGCATAAAGATACTAAAGCAAGAGAGGAAGAAAACATGATGGTTAATATCAGTTCTCTACAAATATGTTTTTCCAGATATTCTCCCTCAAAAAAAATTAGATGGTAAGACTAAAGAAATATTTCTTGAAAAAAATGTTGTAAAACTATTTAGGAAAATTTTTTCATACATTCATTCATAAGACTTTCAATTTTATTTCTCTTATTTCTGCCTGTGGTACCAGTCACTAGCTCTTGCACAACAACTTACTTGGTGCTAGGAAGATTATTTGATGTGGATATTATTTGATTTAGATATTAAATTTTCTAAGATTACAAAATTTTCTCAGCATATACTCTGTGGCACCTTGATTGATCATTTTTCCTTCTTTGTGTAACCATTTTAACATGTGTATTATGACTAGTAATTTGTTGTTGTTGTTTTGTGTGTGTGTGTGTGTGTGTGTGTGTTTTGAGGCAATTGGGATAAAGTGACTTGCCTAGGGTCACACAGCTAGTAATTATCATGTGTCTGAGACCACAATAGAACTCAGATCCTCCTGACTCCAGGGCCAGTGTTCTACCCATTGCTCCATCTAGCTGCCCCATGACCAGTAATTTGAAATGATATATTGGAAGCAAGGGAAAGGGACGCACAAAGGCAAGGTATTGTAGAGCAGGCCTTCATTCTTTTAGTCCAGAGGACTTATAAGCTACCTGCTGCCTCACCACTACAAAAGTCCATGGGTACTAATGTTCAGCAGAGTTCTTGAAGACTACTACGATAAAATCTCTCATTTCAGATTTCGGCATCTGATGACTAATGCTATGAGAGGGATGATGAGATGAAAGATATGAAATCTCCAATTTCCTGAATCTCCCTCTTGGTGCATTTGCTTCCAGTATATGGTTGTCTCTCTTGATCTATGTTGTAATTAAGCAAATTTGGTCTTTTACATCTGTGGTATAGGATATTTCTCATTATCTGAATGTCAGGTTTTAATGTATAGTATATTATACTAATTAGTTTTATTTTGTTTTTTATCCGTAGATTTAGGACCTGTTAATTTCTATTAGCAGATCTATGCCAAGTAGTATGAGACTTTATACCAGAGAATATACAAATTCAAGAAATCTGAAAGTGTGGATTTTACTTTATTTAAAGTACCAACCAACACCAAGTATTAACGTTCTACGTTGCTAAAGACCTAATCTACATTGATAGGTTTTTCCCCCTACTAGGTACTAGGAAACAATGTGTTTTCATGATAGAAGTATGTCAGTTACTCTGAAAAGAAGGAGTAATTTATGAAATTTGTTTCAAAGGGGATAAAATGGTCCTATTATGTTCAGTTTTCAAAAGACAGAAAACTATACAGCCAGGGAAAGATGTGATACAATATGAAAATATGGTACGGGCATCTTAATTTTTAAAAAATCAGGAAAAAAGTCAGCCAAAAAAATAAGAAAGATTGTAATTGGACCATTCCATGCTTTTAAATAGATTTCCCAAATGTTAGGTGAAATCCTATGACACAGATTTTACTAAAGTAGGCTTCAACTTACCTTATTAATGAACAAATATTTGTTAAACATCTACTTTGGACCATGCTGGATAATGAGGATGAAATAATCCCTGGTAACAAGCAGCATATATTCTATTAGGGGAAACTATATGTATAAATATAAATAAAGGTAAAATATATACAGAGTAAATACAAGGTAATTTATCTCTCTCCCTGACCTTCAACCTCCCTGCTATTGTCAAGTATACACCTCCTCTCACTCTCCTAGGCTTGTAATCTTGGTAGCATCCTTGACTCGTCATTCTCTCTCACCACCATTATCCAATCTGTTGCCAAGACTTGCCAATTTTATCTTTGTCACATCTTGTAAATATGTCCCCTTATCTCCTTTGATACTGCCACCACCTGTACCTCTGGCCTTCATAGTCCTCCATAATCCAGCCTTCCCCCACCCCTCACACTTCTCTAGTCTTCTTACACCTTCTTACACCCCCAACATGTACTCTTCCATCCAGGGACACTGGCCTCCTTGACATTTCTCAAACAAGACACTATCTCCTCACTTTGGGCATTTTCTGTAGCTGTCCCTCATGACTAGAATGCTCTCTCCCTCCTTATTCCTAGCTCCTGGCTTCCTTCAAGTAGCAGTTAAAACTCTCACCTTCTATAGGAAGCCATTCCCAATCTCTCTTAATTCTAGTGCTTTCCCTCTATTGATCATTCTTTATTTATCCTGTCTACAGCTTGTTTGTACATAGTTGTTTGTATGTTTTTCCCCCATTAGACTGTGAGCTCCCTGAGGGCAGGGACTACCTTTTGCCATTTTCTGCATCGTTGGTGGTTAGCAGAGTGCTTGGTACTTAGGAGGAACTTAATATTTATTGACTGACTTATTGTTCTATGTAAGATTTGAGGTTGAAATGATGGGCCAGGGGTTATACATGTAACAAAACTCCCTAATCCAGTTTTATTTCATGCTACTCTCTTTCAAAAATTCAGTGTTTTAGTCAAAGTTCCCCAAATGCAGTACTTGATCTTGTCTCTGAGTATTTGCACAAACATTCTTCTATGCCTGGAGTACAATCCCTCTTTATTTCTACCACTCAGGATTCATATGTTACCTCATGACTCAATGGCAGGTGTCATCTTCTCTGTTAAGCCTTCCTTGATACCTTGGATATTTGTGTTCCTTCATTCAATTATCCTTGGACAACATCTCCTTAAGGAAGCCTTTCCTAATATTCTCAGCTTCTAGTGCCCTTCACTCTAATGCTACATTCCATTTACTCTGAATTTATCTTGGACGTATCATTTGAGGCATATGTTTTCTTCTTCATTAGAATGTAAGCTCATTGAGTGCAGCTCATGAGTAAGCTTATTTTTCTGCCCTGTGTGTATAAGTACTTAATGAATGCTTGTTGATTGATTGATGGTGTATACCCCACTGTAGAATGTAAGTTGCTTGATTGAAGACATTTTTCTTTACTTAACTTTGGGGGATTTTATTTTTGTCTGGGTTTTCTTTCACAGCATGACTTACATGGAAATGTGTTTTGCATGACTACACATGTATAACCTACATCAAATTGCTTGCCCTCTCATTGGGGCTGGAAGGGTAGCAGTGGAGGGAGGGAATTTGGAACTCAAAATTTGAAAAAAAATGTTTAAATTGTTTTTCATGTAATTGGGGGAAAATATTAAGTTTTTTTTTTTTTAAAAAAAAGAAGGTAAGCTGCTTAAGGCCAAGGTCTATCTCATTGTTACTCTTGTTTTTCCACATCCATCATGATACCTTACACATTGTAGGTGCTTAATAAATGTTTATTGAATAAAATTAACATATAGTAGTATTAACTACTATATAGTAATTTTGGGTGGGCAGATCTATGATTTCTAGACATCACATTGTGTATGTACCTATGTAATAATAACTTTGAGTGAATTAGAAAGCTTTTTATACAGATTAATATTGCTCAATAAATATGCCAGTGTCATCCATGTATTTTTTAAAAGAAGCACTTTCATAAAAATCATTCAATTGAATTTTTTAAAAATATATTTTATTCTTCCCCCAATTACATGTTAAAAACAATTTTTAAAACATTTTTTTAAAAGTTTTGAGTTCTAACTTCTATCCTTCCCTCCCTCCCTCTCCTCCCCCTTCCCTGAGATAGTAAGCAATCAGATACAGGTTATACATGTGCGAACATATAAAACATTTCCATATTAGTCATTTTGTATAAGAAGACTCAAATAAAAGAAGAAGAATGAAAGAAAGAAAGTGAGAAATAGCATCCTTCAGTCTTCATTCAAACAATATCATTCCTTTTTCTGAAGGCAGATAGTATGTTTCATCATGAGTCCTTTGGGATTGTCTTGGATCATTGTATTGCTGAGAATAGCCAAGTCATTCACAGTTCTTCATCATACAATGTTGCTGTTACTGTGTATGATGTTCTCCTGGTTCTGCTCATTTCACTCAGCATCAGTTCATGCAAGTCTTTCCAGGTTTTTCTGAAATCTGCCTGTACATAATTTCTTAAAGCATAGTAATATTCCATTATAATCATATACCACAGCTTGTTTAGCCATTCCCCGATTGATGGGCATCTCATCAATTTCCAATTCCTAGCCACCACAAAAAGAGCTGCCATAAAAATTTTTGTACAGACAGGTGCTTACCACCACCACCCTTTTTATATCTTTGGGATATAGACAGTGGTATTGCTGGATCAAAGGGTATGCACAGTTTTATAGCCCTTTGGCCATAGTTCCAAATTGTCCTCCAGAATAGTTAGATTAGTTCACAACTCCACCAACAGTGCATTACTGTCCCAGTTTTCCCACATGTCCTCCAATACCCATTATTTTCCTTTTTATTTTTTGTCACATTAGTCAATCTGATAACTGTGAGGTGATACCTCAGAGTTGTTTTAACTGGCATTTCTCTAAACAATAGTGATTTAGAGCATTTTTTTATATGACGATAGATAAATTTTATTTCTTTGAAAACTGCCTGTTCATATCCTTTGACCATTTATCAATTGGGGAATGACTTGTAGTTTTACAAATTAGACTCAGTTCTCTATTTCTTTGAGAAATGATGCCTTTATCATAGATACTTATTACAAAATCCCCCTCCCCTCCCCAGCTTTCAGCTTTCCTTTTAATTTTGGTTGCATTGGTTTTGTTTGTGCAAAATTTTGTTAATTTTATATAATCAAAATTATCTATTTTATATTTTGTAATGCTCTTTATCTCTTGTTTGGTCATAAATTCCACCTTTATCCATAGATCTGACAGATAAACTATTCTATGCTCTCCTAACTTACTTATGGTATCACCCTTTATATGTAAATCATGAACCCATTTTGACCTTTTCTTAGTATACTGTGTGAGATATTGATCTATACCTAATTTCTGTCATACTGTTTTCCAGTTTTCCCAGCAGTTTTTGTCAAATAATGAGTTTTTGTTCCAAAAGCTTGGATCTTTGGATTTATCATATA